TGCATCCATAACTCAATAGTGTACGCTGTGGTGTTTACCATTTGTTTTATAACATAACGTTGATACATTGTAGCTAAAGATTTCCGTTTTATTTAACAAATCTTACGTGACGAGAAAAAACAAGCGCGCGCGGAAAAATAGTCTTTGCATTTGCTCACGTCAGCAGCGTACACCCATGGGCAAATGGGGGACGCTAAATTGACCAATCAGAGCGCGCGCTTTGCTTTGGCTATGTTATAAACTCATTTAGTTGTTCTCTTCCACGGAAACCTTTAGTAAAAGGCGAAAGATTTGTGCGACTTGAAGGAGGACCAGAGTGAACAAACTAGGGCTGGCCTATGCTATCTAAAAGGCCTGTTGTGACAATACCACGATTTGGGAACCGAAAAAAAGTCGCGAATGTTCATTTGGTACAATCGTGAGTTGCATCCTTCGTTCATCATACCCGTTGTCGAAAGGAACCCATGCAAGACAAACTTACTGAAGGCAGGAGTGACATTCCATTCATTTTTGACGGTTAATGGTATTGCGCGAAGCTCTTTGGCCAAAAATCCGAGCGATAAAAACGAGGTTTCGTAACTTACAGTACGGACCGAGAATACAAGGTATGTAAAATATTTATTATATTGTGAGTTCAAACAGTGGGAGAAAAGTTCAATTCGAATGAACTTTTTTAGCGGGCCGCACGATAAAAAATGCCCGCTAATTTAATATGTCATAGCGCACAAACTAACTGAGCGATACAGTTTACTCTGTGACTTTTTCATGGCGCGCACTAAGTTCAGATGAACGCACGAGCAATACAGCTTCCTTCTTTTGTGACGTACTTTCATAGCATTTTGAAACGCAAAAAGCAAGTGGAAAGGCTGGATAGCGTGGACATAGAAGAAGAAAGTTCCTTATAGGTATCATGTCCGTCGACCTCGATCATGTTATGATAGTTGTTCCGTTGCGCAAACCACGCGCTAAACTGAGCGCTAAGAGGAGAGTGGGTTCTATGAATGGAAGAGAAAGTCAATTAAAAAACGTTTTAGCTAAGATTGAACATGCAAACGACCGCAACACTAATTCATTGCCATCGCTGGGACACACTAAAGGAAAAGACGAAAACCAGCCGCATGTGAGCTGCCTGAAGGGTTATGCAAGAGAATCTCTAGGTATGTCAGTAGAGTCTTATACTTATTCAGTCCAGCGTGATCATCTTGTCAAGAGGATAGTTTTATTTGAAAACTAGCGTCCCTATAGATACCAAAGTATGATGCGGAGTGCTCGTTCAATCCATAAAAAGCTGTTATCATAGTGTTATCAAAAGCGCCCTCCAGTTATTTGAGAATGGGCTCGTTTGGAGAACTATTGTTCTATTGCTCTGCCCTTGACAGGCTGTTGCGTGCCTCGTATTTCATCGATTTTGTTATAGGACGCACTAAGCAGCTTGCGGGCTGTGGCTATTCCCCTATTAAAGAGGGAAAATAGTACAGACTTTGTGACACTGAAACATAAAGGATCACCAGAAAACAGGTTAAAACGTACTTGAGAGACGTCAAGGCTCCGCGTCCAACTCTTCCTTTCTTGTAACGAAAAGCACCAGCTGCGTTTGTTCCGTGAATAGAAACTAGTTGGTCTGGGTGCGAAATAAATCGCAATTTTTCTACGCGCACCTTATAAGCGAGGATGCACACGTCTCAGCATCCCCTTTCACAAGCTCTTGATCAGTATTCACCATATCAGCGTTTACGTTTACACGGTAACTAGGATTTTACCCTTCCCCGTAACAGGCTATTCAACTTAGTAATTAAAATGGAGAAAGCGCTGATGTTTCTGGTAGGCCCAAGGGCTAAAATGCATCACGGTTGACGGTATAAAATTTAAATGAGGATTTAAAGAGGTTCTTTTTCCTTTCAGGCCTTGTTAGAGCTCTGGAGGTGTACAGTCCGAATAACCCGGCCACTGCAAAATGGCGCTCGGGCCTGCAGCCGCTAAGTCTTTACCAGCAAAGCAAGTTGGAAAAATCTGTGCGAGATTACAAAAGACTCTACAGTGTGCAGCACTCTCCGCCTCACGCAACTTTAACTGTTCGCTGGCGAAACAATGGAAAAGAGACCTGCTATACAGAGGAATCTCTTCAAAAAATTTTTAGCCACTTTGGTCAGATTAGAAAGATTAGTTTTCAGAGTGCTTGTAGCGCTCATATCGTACTTGAAAACGCGGAAAACGCATGCTTAGCTCTCGGCTTATCAAATTTAGGCTTTCCACGATGTCCCCTGCACGTTCGCTGGCTACCAGAGGAACAGAAGAGGTTGCTTTGGCGAAAAAATGATGCTGTTGCTGAGCCAATGAAAGTAAAGAATGTTGTAATCAATGGAAGGAATACTGGAGGCCTTCATGAGCCATCCAAAAAGGGGGCTAGAAAGTCGCCCCAAGCTCTGATGCGCCACAGTCAAATTTGCCGCACTACTCCTACTGACCAATTCACGCAGTAACGCACAATAGCCTTTAATAACTTTCGTTTGAAATATGGACCTAAACTACTTTGTTTGCTATTTTAAGGGTTTATCAGTTAATTCTGAGCAATAAAAACATATCCGGTTAAAACTTAAAGAACAAATAAGACCAAAATGTCCCTTATTTAAGCATTTATTTTATCGCATCCTTTCCACAAATATAATAAAATGTATTGCTTTGGCTTCATATAATAGAAACATAACTATTTCCAAAAATACAATTTCAACAATAAATATATATCTAATAGTATGTACTTGTTCCTTCCAATTACACTCTCGCACCGTTGAAGTTATTTTCATAAACAAATAGACATTTTACAACCCGGTCTTTGGTTATCCTATTGGGCTTCAATAATGCCCTTTGTGGACATTCCAGTGAAAGCTGTTTAGCCATACTATCATGTAATAGCATTTTTTTAGCCAAGCAAACTCTGCAAGTTTCTTTTGCCATCTTTTTCATGGTTTCAAAGCTAATCTGTAAACCAATCCGAAAAGAATCGCTTCAAAAGCTATTACTACAAAGCCTTTAGTTTTATCAATTCCTACACATTTTGTAGTCTATTTCAGTTCGTTGGCTTCAAATATTCTTCCTAATCCTATTTGAAACTGTCACCTATGCTAGAGTTTAAAGAACTTGCCACAAGTAATAAGAGAAAACTGCTACCGGATCTACAAGATGTTTACTTGTGAATAATTGCTTAAACTTGTTCTTCAAGACAACTTGCAAATCAACTTCTTTATCTCAAGGTACTCTAAGAGAGTCTAAGGTTTTACTTTGTTCCATTTCTGAGGGGTCCATAATCCCATCCACATACACAATCTGGTACTGCTTACACCTCATCTGCTTCAGCGACCGTCGTAAGTGCCGCAAACCGGAACTGCTGCTCTGAATGTCTTCCAAGAGGCTCTGCATCTGTTTGGCCGAATGGGATGGATCAAATAATAGGAGGTAGAGACCACCATCCTTACCGGAATGCTCCTCAACTCCAATCACCAGCCGACTATGGCCTGTTGGACGAAAATAATTAATTTAATTTTTTTTATTTAATTCATTCGCCACGGGAGTGGCAGGAGAAAAGATCAGAACTTTCGTCCCAATTGACACCTAACCCCAATTCCCAGTAAACAGGCCAGACCACATCATAGTAATCTCGTGAGTCGGTTCTTTAACGTCGCCTGCCTAACCAAATTAACTAATTAATAGATGCAGGAGACGGGACCTACGGTTTATTCGTCCTTATCCGAGAAGACTAGAATGTCTATCCATTTCTTGATATATTATAGAAAGGTAGCACATTCTCCTTTGTTATTTTAAGACCTTGAGTGTTAGTCCGGTCAGGGCTCGAACCCTCGCCCTCCATCCTGCATAAGAGAATTATATCACAGATGCCTATTGACCCATCCGTTTCAGAGCTTGTCTCTATCTCTGGAGCATGGAGTGACACAGGGTATTTCTGTTACATGGGACGCTGGTCAAGTAGAGGTAGCCACACCCATCATTCCTCAAGTTTCCATGGCAGTTTGTTAGAACCCATCGACCCTTTACACTCTAACATCAGTATGCATATTCTCCATACAGTTCTCTGTTCATCTGCTAAAGTGCTGACAAGGAGAATTTGTTGAATAATCAAGAGAATTGCAGGATGATACGGTGCAGACAAATCTTAGGAGCCAATGGGTTGAAACTCTTAAGTAACCCTAACCCGATGCAAAGAGAGGTACAGTCAAACCTTGATTATCAGGACCTAAATTATCTGGATTTTTGATTATCTGGACTTGCTTCTTGGGTCCCATTTTCTACAAACATTTATATTCACATTTTTTATTATCTGGACTGCCAATTTTCTGGATCACTATACACCACTTTCATAAATGGCTGCCGGATTGATATTCTTTTGTTTAAATTCAAATTAGCCTCACTAGCCTGGCTTGAGATAATGCATTCTTTTGAATTTTGAACTGGGGAACGAGGCCAGAAAGGCTAATTTAAATTTAAACAAAAGAATATCAATCTGGCAGCCATTTATGAAGGTGGTCAATTATGCCCAGTTCTCATGAGTCTAGATAATCAAGGTTCAACCATACCGTGAAATATATCTCACTGGAACGAATCAAATCACACACAAACAAAGGTTACAAACCTTGATGCTGAAGGTAAAGTGGAGGAATTGAGGTTTGTCTGAGAACTGACGAACCCAAAGGGACTGCTGCAGAGTTCATGTTACAGCTGAAGTAACGCTTTATCCATGAAAACATTTCAGGATGTGTGCCATCACAACCAGTGGCTTGGTGGAAGTCAAGAATCTTGGCTCTGCAAAAATACATGACCATGAAATACTGGTTAAAGAACCTGCACATTATTGTAACCTAGGAGCTACGCCAGGGTTTGAACATCTTTACAGTATACCATTTGAAATAAACTTATTTTGTCTATCCATAGCCAGCCTTGGTCATTCTCAGTCAGTTGTTCAACTCTCACTCTTGGTCTACTTTTTAAACACAAAAAGTAATGGGTGCCAAACCCTTTCACCCTCCCCCCTCCTCCTGCTCCCCCGTTGTGACTACAAAATAGTTTTTTCCAAAATCATCAACTCTATTTCAAGGAAAAGAATGTTGAGAAGAAATAAAAACATCAGCAAGAGCACTGATTGTTTCATTTACTAACAAAATCTCCGAGCCAACATTAGAAGAAATGTATGGTAAACAGTGCAGAGAATTGATCTTAAGATCATGGGAGTGCAAGGGTTGACATTTCGTAGGCTTCCAGGTGGGGGCTTCATAGAGGGGGGGCTTGTTAGAGAGAAAGGGACTTATCAGAGAGGGGCTTATCACAGACTGGGACATAATAGACACTTGAAGCTTTAGATAGGGTTCTGCAAGAGAGGGAGACTCATTAGCACAATTGGTGAGCACTAATCATGAGCATCTAAGGTAAAGGGAACTAAAAAGCTAAAGACTCCAGTACATATATCTTAATAACCAAGTCCGAGGTCCATGCTGGGAGAATATCGGCCCGAGGTCTTGACAGTATAGACGAGTGCAGTGAGGTCTGTACAAAAAAGACCGAGGGCCGATATTCTTCCAGTATGGTCCCGAGCAAGCTTGGTTAATAAGAGATTTATTATACGACTGAAGTTCATAGGGACACAAGTGCGGTATCATTCGGTACCATTCGGGACAGTGCCTGGTCCAATACTGAGAGAATATTGACTGGCAATAGAGCATTTTGATTGGTTGATTTTAGTTATTGGCCCTCTGACTGCCCGAGTCATGTAATAACTGTACCTTATCTGAAGTGATCTCAAGACAGTTGCTATCTCTGTGGCTCCAATCCACTTTCTGGTATTGATCAGTTTGCATCCAAGGTGCTCAGAACCCTGCCTGTCGAATCCTTTAGGGAAGGTAAACAGCAGAATTTAATCATAGGTATTTCCCCCAAAATTTACAGTTGGTCAAGTAACTAGAAGAAAGAATTTTCCATTATCTGAGAATGTCTCTTATTTTTTTAAAAATCCACCTTTCACACAGAAAGCACAGATTTTGAGATTCTTACAAGAGACTGCTGTAATTTTTTAAGCAACAATTCATTACCCTTTTCTTTAGAAGTATACATTGTTGAACAAGATAATTATTTTTTACATAACTCTGAACATAGTAGGTAGATTTTTTCAGACCAGTTCCTAAGTTTTTTAATCTTGAAAATACTTGTCACCTAAACAGACCCTCCCTAGGCCTTGGAAGATTTAAAAGCATCTACTGAAAGTTTCCCCTTACCACTTGTCCATGCAGCCTCTATAAACTGTTGAATTCTGGGTATAGATGGTACCTTCTCACCAACTGAACACACAAGGAAATGAAAAGAAAGATAATTTAGTTCCCAAGTTGTGTGCTCAAAACTTATAAAATAATAATATAATAATTAGATTGTGATGATGGCCGCTTACTACCTGACACATATTTACACCTCGGCAGAAAAAAAGGCAGCTAATTAGTGAGCAGTTAAAAGGACCTCTTGTTGCAACAATTAGATCACCCCTGATAAAGGCAACTAGACAGGAGTGTCAAAACAATGGGTCAATGAATTGTAATTCCCTGGTTTTACGCATATTTAATATTCAAATTGTAACGTAGTCTGGACACATAATTTGTAACATACTTTAATTAATATAAATTCAAATGTACAACCGTTAAAAGCTCATTTGCAACTGAAGATGACATGAGAATGTCGAAACATGTCTTGTAAATTTAAATTTATTGTTTCTTTATTGAGAATTCCCTGGTTACATTCATTAAATCCTTAAACCAGAGTAACATCAAACCATATCTGATTGTCCATCTGGTTGCTCTGTGAACTTTAATATAACTAGCAGGCTCTTCTCAAAGGTGGATAGCCTGAGCAAATGGACAATCATATATCAACATCCACTTTTAAAGACTGAAAAGGCTCTCATTAGGTTAAGAACAAAAAAAAAAAAAGTCGGCAAAATGAATGTGAGAAACAGCAGTCAGCCCTGAATTCAATTAGGAAACAACAATTGCATTTCAAAACTGAACATAGGGATCAAAGTTCTACAAAATTTAATCACTCTAAGCAGAACCCTAAAAAACTTTCTGTTTCAAAATGTTGCGCTGCACAATGAAAAAAGTTTGAGTGATGCCTAGTTAGTTTAGAGAACCATTTTTCAATCTCACTAGAAGCCAACTCTTTCATTTAAAACTACCAAAGAAATACTTGTCAAAGTTTTCTTTGTCAAAAAATTCTCCAACCCATGAACTTCAACCCAAAAAATCCTTAGCATCTCTTGATTACTTTAAACTTAGGGTTGGAGCCCTTTCGGCCTCTCAACTTCATTCCTTTCTTTTGTATAGGTAATCACATGATTTCGAGTGCAATTTGGAATAAATAAACACGAGTAAATTTTTCAAAGACAGCTAACAAAATTGCATGAGCCCATAGGGCGAGTGCAATTTGTGGTCTTTGAAAAAATTTACAAGTGCTTATTTATTCCAAATTGCATGAGAAAATCATGTGATTATGTATTAATAATATACATGAAAAAATATGAGATAGCTTCTCATAACTATGCAGAAGAAAAGCATGTGCATCAGGTGCAAAAATAATTTATTCAAACTCTGCAAGTGACATTGACATTGACATTGACCAATCATTCTGACCAATCAAAATGTCTGGTTTGTTTCTTTCTTAATTTGCACTGAATTAACTCTCTTCTGCACTGAATTAACTCTCTTCTACACTGAACTAACTGAAAACTGCATTCATCTTAACCAATCAGAACTGAGAAATTTTTTCATGTATATTATTAGAATATAAATCATATTGAAGAAATTTAGTTTATAATAAAAAATAATTTACTAACCACTGTACATAACTGGTCTATAGGTATCCATTTTTAGCAAAGCAGAAATCAACATTTGTAGATTTCTGTAGCCACACCCCCAGCCAGCATCACCCACAGTACTGGCATAATGATCTGTATCTAGAGCCAGCCATGCAGCTTTGGTACCACTGACTCCCATGTCATATCGGTGATGAAGTTGAGGAATGATGCCTTTTCACAAAAGGAAACACTATTTGTTAGTATCACAACTTTATATAATTTGGACTAGTCCCTGGTGGGTATAATATTTTAAATTTAAATGTCTAAATTGCTATCTATGGCTTCACTAACCTTGAATAACAAACTACTACCTAAAAATCTTAAATTCTATTGTACTTTCACATTCTATTATACAAGTGTTGGCGGAATGGAAGTCATAGAAAGTCCCGAAAATCTTTCTCAGATATTCAGAACAAAAGATAATAAGTTGATACCAACAACTTGTGGAACAAAAAAGACAAAATCTCACTTATACCTCTGGTGCATGATTCCCCACTATCATTGTCTGTCATTAAAATTTTCAACATTTCGGCTTTCCTGGCATAGTAATCACCGACAGATGCTTTATTCCTGGCCACATCCCTCTCTAGAGAACGACTGTACTGAGTAACATAACCCCCAGAGGAAGTCATACCATACATGGCCTTTCAATACGAGAGGTAGGAGAGAAGACAAATTAAGTTATTTTTTCGTTAAGAACTAGAAAGATTTGACAATAAAACTGATTCCGCAGATTTCAATTTTCTATTCACTTGAACCACAACTGCAAATTTTGAACTCAACTGGGAAAAAAGGCAAGGCCTGCTCATTAGAAGCTACAGAGGCCTGGTTGTCAGTAAACAAGACTTAGAATGGAGGAACCATTTTTTGAGCCTGGGATGGGATCTAGTGCAAGACACTTAATTCACACAAGGCCTCTCCCAACACATGGCATAAATGAGTATCTGAAAACTGTAAGAATTGAGAGATGAATTGACCTCAAATTATCCTCAATGGAATGTTAGACCATCACTCAATTGACCACACCTTAGTACCAGCCAGGCAACCGGGCACAATCCAAACAAGGGACATGTAGCTTGTGTCGGTTAAAACAGGCAGAGTACAAGAGAACACAAATTTGATTAAACTGGGGGTTCTGTCAGAGAGAATATTAATGCTCTTATGTCTGGTTACAAAGTTAACACAGCCTGCTTACTGAAATGCATGCAACCCACTTACAGATATAACAAACTAATGGTGTTAAGAGCACAATCCAGTGATCCTTCTTGGGGCTGAAATCTGTCTGCTTTTAGTCAAGTGACCTGATCTTTGGGTCAATATATTTTTCAATGAAAATCATAGTACTTTATCAAATCAATATTGTTTGTTGAAACCTGAAGTTTCTTTAGCTCTTCATCCTCTTGAAGTTTTTGTTCCTCCTGTTCTCTTCTTTGTTCACTTTCCAGTGCCTGAGCTAACAAATGATCATCCCACTCAGATGGCTGGTTCTCAAGTCGTTCCATTTCCTGTAGAACAATAATCCTATTTTAAGAAAAAAATCTTTGAAAAAATCAAATTCCCTCCTTCTAGAAAAAGTGCCACCAAAGAGAATCAGAATTTGATGATTAATATAAAAAAAAAAAAAACAGTCTGCTCTTGAGAGGCATATCAAGTGCACAACTTCAACATTAATGGAGTTACAATGAATATAGCATTTTTCTGAATATCTTAATCACCTGTGATAAAAAGAATAATGGTTTAAAGTGTTTGTAATTTGACCCTGTACTTCCAAGCACAAAAGTTTTAAAACAAGCAAATCAAGGAAAAATATCAGTACATAATTCTAACAAAGTAATGGGAAAAAGGGAATTATGCAAGACATCTTTTTAACTCATCTCCCTCCCCAAATATCATTTCCTTTACTAGCTACCATACAAGGTTTAGAGCAGAACATTTCATAGGGGTAGAAGGAGATTCCAGTGGGAAAAAATTACCCAGCAGGAATGACACATCTACTAATTAAAAGTTACTTGTTTTTCAAGTTCTTGAGCCAGTGCAGTATCATTCTGTGTGTAAATCACTGGTACTTCATACTGGTCCTGTGGTTGAAATGTTACCCCTAACAGACTGTTTGTAGTGGCATCATTTATGGCTTGATCTTCTAATGAGTGTGCAAACATGTGATCATCCCACTCTGGCGCAGAAACTTAGAATATAGAATAATAAAGAGAGTAAAGATGTCACTATAGTTTTTAAGACAGAAAACAATGATGATAATCATCATGATATCCTATGATATGTATTTTGAAATGGTTCTATCCCAAAAATGAGACTGAAACAAAGACAAACTTTAAAATATATATTGATTACATTGTTATCTCATTCTTTTATTTTCTCATCTTATCTATACATTATCTAGTAATGGAAAAGAGTTCAGGTAACACATCATATTAAAAAAATTATACTTTTTTTTTAGATTGGACACACTATTTTGGCAAGTACTTTTTGGCCAAAAATAATACTGGAATCACAAGAGAATGAGAAGCAGCTTTTTTTCACTGTAGTAGCACTTTATATTTTTAATGATATTTTCTTCAAATAATTGTTTATTTATGGGTACATGTAGATGTTTTTAAATATTTACACACTTGAAAACAAGTTATCATTCGGATACTCATTGGTATTATATTGTTTATAATATTCTTTTTAACTTTTTATTTGTTATTTGATGGCTATTTTATAAAGTTGTGTATGTTTAAAAGGGGGTAAGTTTCTAAAGAAACTGTAGTGCTGCATTAGAAAGGTTTTATAAAATAATTTGCTTTTATCGATTGAATTGATAATGTGAATAGGCAAAGAGTATGAAAACTAGCTTAAGAACTCTCTATGGTGGCCAATTTACTGATCTACTTAGAGGATGAAACCAAATTATCTTGTTTATGTTTATGTTCTTTATGGCAAACTTAAGGTATTGTCTATCTTAGTAGTTATTTTTATTTCAAGGCTTACATGGTATGTACTCCGTGCCAGTGACAACAGATTGTCCCTCTAAGCAAGATTGCTTGGCTCTGCCATCTATAGGAGTTGATAAAATATTTGAACTTTGTTTGATTAAAATTTGAAGAAATACTAATTTTTAGGAAATTTCAAATTTTATCAGTTCTAATGTCTAGTCAAAACCTGTCACTAATGGTGATTGAAATAATATTTTTAGCTGATGTTTGCTAATTATTTGCATTAATTGAGTTAAATTTACTTGTTTGACTTTTTAATCGTCTTGTTTAAAATCAATTAAATATGTCTCACGAGTTTTACGCAAACGTCACAATTCAAACTTTCCTGAACAAAAATAAACACATATGAGTGAATATGAAACTCGAATAGGATACCGTGGATTAATATATTTATTTGAAACCATTTTATAATTCTAAGTGTTTTCTCTGTGGCCTATGACAGGAACAAAATACTTCCAATTTAACTTACCTATCTGTTGACATCTTCCGTAATTACATTCTCGAAAATCGGCTGCATCCGAGATTCCCGGAACTGAAATCAAACAAAAACAAACCTTATTTTATTTACTTCCCATGTACCTGCTAGAGGCTTTTAAATTATTTTTTACGATTGAAATCGCTCTTCGAAAATGCTCTTTTCACCTAAATCATCGCGTCGATTCGCCTCAGATGATGTGGAGGGTTGTGTGAAATGTTCCTCTACATGAATACCGATGTTCTCTTTTGATACAGATGTACCACAAACAGGACAAATCGAAAAGGAAGGAGGAAGGTCGATGTCATGTCGATATAATTCTTCACGCCGTCTTTTCATATCAACTGATGCTAGACCTGGATCACGAAGACATCACCGCAAGCATATTAAAATCATGCTTTCGGTTTGAGAGGAGTTTCAAAGATAACGAAAACGTGAAAGACCTCTGATCACAAACGACTTTCTTGGTGATAGCGATTTGCCACCAGTAGAAAATCACCAGGCGTTGCGATCAAGCTTGAGCGTCACAACGAGGCGAATCTTTGAAACTCTGTCGTGTCACGTTCCATCTAGTCAAAATCTATTGCGTTACTGTTACGAGTGTGACAGCAGTGACTTTGGTACAAACATTTTTAGGGAGAAATTTGATGAAAAACTTGATTTCTTAATTACTCGTTGTCCTCAAAAATTGGGAAGAGCAATTTATTTCAAAGTATGGGCTAAAGCTGATGTTTCGTATATGAGAACGATCCTTCGCAGTAAAGCACTATTTGAGCAATAGTGGAAATCAGACCTGAAAAAAATTTCAGGCCTGTACGGGATTCGAACCACTGACCTCTGTTCACACAGATGTTTCATATGTTTGTTGTTGTTTGATTTATCATCTACGGGTTTATATCGAATTAATTTGATGGCCTGCTCCCAGTTGGCTTGTTAGCTCAATTGGTAGAGCGCTGCACTAGTATCGCAGAGGTCAGTGGTTCGAATCCCGTACAGGCCTGAAATTTTTTTCAGGTCTGATTTCCACTATTGCTCAAATAGTGCTTTACTGCGAAGGATCGTTCTCATATACGAAACATCAGCTTTAGCCCATACTTTGAAATAAATTGCTCTTCCCAATTTTTGAGGACAACGAGTAATTAAGAAATCAAGTTTTTCATCAAATTTCTCCCTAAAAATGTTTGTACCAAAGTCACTGCTGTCACACTCGTAACAGTAACGCAATAGATTTTGACTAGATGGAACGTGACACGACAGAGTTTCAAAGATTCGCCTCGTTGTGACGCTCAAGCTTGATCGCAACGCCTGGTGATTTTCTACTGGTGGCAAATCGCTATCACCAAGAAAGTCGTTTGTGATCAGAGGTCTTTCACGTTTTCGTTATCTTTGAAACTCCTCTCAAACCGAAAGCATGATTTTAATATGCTTGCGGTGATGTCTTCGTGATCCAGGTCTAGCATCAGTTGATATGAAAAGACGGCGTGAAGAATTATATCGACATGACATCGACCTTCCTCCTTCCTTTTCGATTTGTCCTGTTTGTGGTACATCTGTATCAAAAGAGAACATNTTTCATTCCACTAATTTATTCGTGTTTTTCTCGTTGCCATGTTCCCACCAATAACGTAGCTCCATTTTCTGCCTTTAAAAGCACACACAACCCAAAATTCCTCTATTCGCTCCGACGAAGGGCTAACGCTCGAAACGTCAGCTTTTGTAATCGTTACGGTGGCCAATTTACCTTTTCAACTTTGTTGATATATCCAAATTATTAAAAAAACTTGATCGAGTAATCGAAATATCCTTCCTGCTTTTATTTGTCTCCTGTTAGTTAGTTAGTTAGTTTTTTTCTTTCTTTGTTTGTTTATCATTGAAAAGAGAATCTAAAATGGAAACGAGAACTACGCCAACAACCATAGCAAAAATAAAAAATAACAATCTCTAAAGGAAGAGGCTTTTTTGATGAACAGGCTTACTAGCCCTCTTTTCCTCGAATCCTACCTTTAGGCCGTACACATTTTCCCACAATACATAGTAAACCATAGAGGTTCCTTTTAGGAACTGGATTTTGACCCTGATAACGCTTTGTAGCTTGCATTTGAGGAGTGGTTCCGTCGGCGGACGATGAAAGAATATATATTTTCATCTTTCATCAAAGGGCCCTTACCGCCCGAAGAATATCAATGCGACCGTTTTTCTTTTTCCTCATTCTTTCTTTCTTTCTTTCTTTCTTTCTTTCTTTCTTTCTTTGTTTCCTCGTTCCTTTCTCCTCTTCTGTCGAATGCGTCTTTGATCGATGGGCACCGATTTGTGTTCATGTGGGAGGAGAAAAGAGGACCTTTTTTGATATATACCTCTGAGCCCAGATGAAAGACAAAAGGGGCATCACACCATCATCCGGGACATCGGCGTTGGTCCTCTGGCTTCCTCGTGAACCTCCATTTTGCTGCGTCTCGTTGGACTTTTTTCCTTATTTCTGGTGGTACAATATGTCTCGTGGTGGCACACGAGTTTACTTTGGAAGACTTCCTAGAGACACAAGAGAAAGAGATCTGGAACGATTCGTTCGGGGATTTGGAAGAATACGGGAAGTCAGCATTAAACTTGGATACGGTTTTGTGGTAAGTTAAGTCCAGGAGGAAAACTCAATCATAACTATTAACATACTTTGTGGAATTTTCCAGCTTTGTTCGATTGCTAGTCACAACATGTTCGTAATGTATACATCTTGTTTGCTTTCCAAAGGAATTTGATGATCCAAGAGACGCCGATGACTGTGTTTATGACTTGAATGGAAGGGAACTGTTAGGAGAAAGGTAAGCTTTTCAACTCTAAAGATAGAAATGCGATCCTCTTGGCCGGTTTGGCTTAAAATGAGAAAGCCGCAGCACTTATTGTTGCCGCGAATGCCACTTGTGTAGTTTATTGATTAAGGCTTACTGCATTATCTTCTGCGTTCTGCTTACCCTAAATTCTTGGACCTACTTAATTTTACGACGTACACTCTAAAAAGTTAATTTGGCTTATCGCCTTCCTTTTCGTTCCAACACAGAGTCGTTGTGGAACATGCAAGAAATCCTTCCAGAAGCCAAGACTATGGTTACAGAAGCCAACCTAGGTGAGTAATCTAAAAAAGAAATTTTTAAACCAAACATAATACGCAACAAAGTTGTCGAAATTCTGTCAAGCTGAGCCTCCTCGGTAATTCGCCTCATCTTCTCCCTGCTGTAAATTTCAAATGACCACCCTTTCCATACTTACTTAGTAGTACTTTGTAAATCATCCTGATTTGCTCTTGCTTTTAAGGTAAACTAAAAATCATTGATAAGTACATGTATGTGTTTTCCACACCAGGGTTGAGTTGGAGCTCTTGCCCCTAAACTTGATTGCATGTATTTTGTGCTGTTATTTAAGAATTGGTAATGCCATGCATCAGATAATCAATTAGTGATAAGAAAAAAAAAATGTGCTACCTTCTGCAAACAGATCTATGTTGTGGATATTGTTATCCACAGTCAGTCTGTAATGTTTTTCCTTTGTTGAATATTTTAATGTTATCATGTCAAACAGCAACAGGAACAATCAGAGACGGGGCCGCACACCACCTCTCAGAACTGAACACAGACTTGCAGTGGAAAATCTCTCCTCGAGGATCAACTGGCAGGTTTGTGTAACATGACACTTGCAATTTGTTCTGTCTTGGTACCATCAAAACTAGGAATGTTAACTCTTTAAGGTTTTTTTTTTCCCGAGGAAAATGAATAAGACATACCTCTTACCTTCTTGTTCAGCGGTTTTTTTTAATTTTTTTTTCATTGGAAAGCTTTCTGATAGTTTACACTTGAACTGAATTAATTTGATTAAAATGGTGTCTGCCTCAAGTCAATTAGCATAACTAGGAGAGTATTTCAATTGGTATGATGTGGTGTTATCATAGTTTTTAAAAAATAACTTTACGATCGCCAACTCTTGATCTGTAGATGTCCAAACCTAGCTTTGCCATGTCCTAGCCAGTACGCGTCTGCCCTTGTCCTAATCAGTCGATCACTCAGTCAGATGGCAATTTGACCTTGATCCAGGAGTGCACTATCTGACCTTGACTTTTGCTACCCAACCAACTGTAACAGCAAGTGCCAAGACGTTTGAGCACCATGCCATGTTAAATTTCCATTCCGACCCTTGCCTCACCAAACAGACAATCAGGGCTTAAGTTAGTGCTATTGTTGCCGTCCAACCATCGTGTGAGTTCTCTCTCACCTGAGCTTAGTCTTACAGTTGGCCACCAACGCACGCCAGCCACATTCTGTTTCCGTTATGTAAAGTTTCATTCTGTTAAATTGATGAAAAAGATTTTCGGACAGGTAAGTATCATGGTTTCAACAACGGTGATCCATTGATGGCAGCCCAGAAAAAGTATTAATAGGTCTTAGTGGCCACACATGTAAGAAGTTACTGTTTGTTTTGGGTCAGTCTTTGTTGTGTGATTAGGTCTTTATCAGAGCATCCTTTTACTGATTTATTCTCATGTTCAAACATTATTTGGTGTGGAGGGCACTTTTAGTTTAATTAAAAACTGTAAACATTACATTAATTGGCACCAAATATGGTCAACATAACAAAATTTCCATTTAACTTTGGTCTAACCAAGAGTAGGACTGCTTTTTAACCTGTGTTCTTTGCTCTCTACTTCATCAAGTTTTTCAAGCGTATATGAATTGAAAATGAGATATATTTTCAGGATTTGAAAGAATATATCTCCAAGGCTGGAGAAGTCACATTTGCCGATGCACACAAGAGAAGGCAGGGTGAAGGGTGAGTACCTTTTTCTATGCATGATATTTGAAAAAGTACTTTACTGTAGGCATTAATTGATGTGGGTGCTGAATTATGAAATACTCTCTTAACACTATATGACTTTGTGTTAGTGAGGCAAAGCTGAATTAAAGTAACAAGTATCGTTTGTCTACCTCCAGGATTTCAATTTTCATCACTCTTGTTTTTTTACAAGAGTAATGATAATGTGTTGTTGATATCTCTGATCAAAGCAGCAAAGTTTTAGTCACTAGTTCTAGTGGAAGATTCTAGCTGCATTTGGTCTAGCGACCAATAAATGATTATTTGACTGTGTCTGTTTAACTTATCTACTCAATTAGATAAATGCTTAGTACACTACATTAACAGTGATTCGTCCATTTCAGGGTTGTAGAGTTTGCTTCCAAGGAAGACATGAAGGCTGCTTTGAAAAAGCTTGATGATACAGAGTTACATGGCAAACGTATCCGTCTCAAAATTGTAAGTTCTGATTTCCTTCTTACATAAGAGAATGAGATATTTTTTCTGTTATTATCTTATTAATTTCTTCAAGAATGTTCCTATGGCTTGTGGTAGTTATGGTTTTTAGATGCTATTGGGACCAAATGTTTCGATGCAAATGCCAAGAAATGACCTGGATTTTTTTCCCCACAGGAGTTGTGTGTGAACTTGGTGACTATGATAATAACAGACTTGTATTCACAAAATTGAATGCAAAAACTTCTAGAGGGAGCAAACTTCAGCAGAAGGAAACTGTAGTAACATACCTTATTCTTTTTGCTTGGTTGGCAGGATTTTATATTAAATTTTTTTGTACCTAGGAAAAGGTGAGATCCTCCTCACGACGCTCACGCAGTCGCAGTCGATCTCGCTCCCCAAAACGCAGAAAAAGGTATGCATGATTAAATCTAATGCTTATTTGAAAATGAGAGTGAACTACAGATTTTTCATTCCTTGTAAGAAACCATACATGGGTTAATATCAATGGCTAGATCTATAAAAAGTGCAAGCTTTGTACAGTTTGTCATAGATCAGTTTGTCTAACATGGGTTGATTTATTGGACAAAGGTCATCCAAATATTTTGTTATCTTTGTAGTGAAATATAGACACTGATGGTGAAAAATTTCTCCTCAGAAAAGAAAGTATTTTTTCCAGAAGTCAATCAATAGAATCAACATATGGTATTGTAGGTGCAAATTTGTGTGTAATCAGTGCACTCTGTAATTAAGGCTTCTCTTTGTTTTTTCTGTCAGAAGCCATTCCCACTCACGAAGTCAATCCAAGTCACGCTCTAAATCCCCAAAGAAACGTCATAATTCTTCCTCTCACTCCCGGTCACCCTCCAAGTCCCGCAAGTCACGTTCACAGTCAAAGGAAAAGGAGCGTTCAAGATCCAAATCTGTGGAGGAAGAGGAGAAGAAATCTCCAAGTCCAGAGAAAGAGGAACAAGAAGAGGAAGCTGAAGCAGAGGTTGAGGCCGATGGGGATGAGAAGGAGGACAGTCCTGAAGCAGTTAATGGGGATGAAGAAAATGGTGATGCTGAACAAGAACTTGAGGTGGAGGATGAAGTTGAAGAGGACTGAAAAATTTTTCTCTATTTACATGAACATGTAGTCACAAAATTATCATTAGTTTTTATGACATTTACCTGTTAGTTTTTCCACTGGAACAGGCAGTTTACTCACCCTTTACTTTTGTTTGTCCTGTCCTATTTTTCATGATAGCTATGTGTAATATTAGTACAAGTGCCAACATAACATCAAGAGAAATTATCTAGGTTTCAACATACTTCTTTGGGCACCTCTCTTTATATTGTCTTTTTTAAATGTCATGGACACCCAAGATGAAAACACCCCACGTTAGTGTTCACTAACTTCATGGCAAATGTTTAATGACTTATATGCTTGCCATGGATCTGATAAACCTGGGTTTTTTTACTCTTTTATTATTTTCCTGTTAAATTTGTCCAGACAGGATAAGAGTTTAGATAGCAACAGTCTCTACAGAGAAGATGCAAAGTTTAAAATATACTTTGTTTGCTCTTAGCTTCCTACATCAATTTTATTGATGTTCATGTAGAAATATAGTTTTTGAAAGTTTGTGTAAGTATTTGTATAACTGTCAAAGATTACAAGGTTAGATTAACAAGCAAATTACTTGTTATCACGCTGAGTTACATTGTGGGTACACTTTCATGCATTACATTAAAAATTATGTCAGAAAGTTTTGTAGAGTTTCCATATTCCCTTAGAATTAAAGTCGTGCTGTTGTAATACTGTTTGAAGGTTTTTACTGTTATCAGTAATGTGACTAAGACATTTCTACATGTCTATATTTGTGTGTGAGGAGCAAGTCTTTTCAACCTTTTTGATTTTCAATTCTTGACTACAGAGAGAGTTTTAATCACAGCTAGAGACGTCATGTGATGCACTTGTATTTGCAAATTCCTTGCTAGGGTTTTCATCCCCAAGATTGTAGATTACCCCTCTGAGATCAGGGTAATTGGGGGACTTTCTCTTTCCTAACTTTCTTTAACTTCAGGAACATCGAAAGAGTAATCGTGAGCAGGATCATTGGCAGCGTTTCCTTCGCTCTAGAGAAATTTTAAGAAAGTAGAAAGAAAGTCTTAAGCACTCGAAACAACAAACGTGTTTAGTTACAAATGATAAGGTTGAGATCGGAAGTCAGCATTATCAGGCGCCTCTGGCAGCCGCTTCAGTCCATGTAACGATCTCCCATCCCACCCCAGGGGAGGACATCCACCACACAGTAATCTCGTGCGTGGGAAATAAACGTCTCCTACCCCTAACCCTGCAGGAGACGGGGCCTACGGTTTATTCGTCCTTATCCGAGAAGACTAGAATATGGCTCTGACCAATTGAGCTAACCGGGAGGCGGTTAGCTCAATTGGTTAGAGCCTCTACTCACTCCCTCAACTAACTATGGTGTAACTATCATTCTGTGGTTTTAGCAAAGTGCAAAGTCTGTCTCAATATTCGTTTGAAGGAAATCGGAAAAAAAAAATATTAGCTCTCGGAAAAAAATACACATTGAACTCGGGAACTGCGATAATAAAACTAGGACAAAGGACATATGTTTGAAATACTTCGACAAAATGAAATGTTCCAAAGATGTTCAGAAGTTTATTTTTCAGCGCCAAAGCAAGTCCTCGGAGCCTTGAGATAGCAGTTTGGTTTTGTCTTTGTTTGCTCGCAGAATATTACTGTAAATTTTTTAAAGTTCTGCAAAAGTTTCTTATTTGCGCCGAAAAAAGGCTGCAGAGCCCCATTGTTTTGTGCTGCTTTTTTCTTTATCAGAGCGGCGCTTTTTCATTGAGTGGCAGGGCATTCTTTTAAACAATGGAAAATGTGCACTTTATTTGACGTCATCAGGAAGAGTGTTTTAAAAAATTCTCAAGGCATTTTGAAAATTCATGCAATCCGTGATTAAGCTGATGGATCAGTGACAAGATGTCAGATTACGGAAGTTTACAAGGCATTCTGTGAAAAATTACGCAATATTGGCGTTAAGACATCTACCATGATGCACTCGATCTTTAGTGATGATCGAAATTTTAGAGAAGAGTTTTAAATTTTATTAATCCGGAAGAAATTACCGATTGAAAGCAGCATGTGGAAACGTTTATGAAGAGATAGTGTTAAAGGGCATTAATTTCTTATGGGAATGTTTTAAGAGAAAGACAAACAAAGCAAGGGTCAGTTCCATGTTTGTTTGTTTGTTTGTTTTCCTTATCTTTAACCTTTGAACAGTTTAACTTTCCTCAAGTAACAATAGAATTTTATGTAGTTAGGTAGGGAAGAACTTTTATAACATAATTTTTCTGTTCTCATTTTTGTCATTTTTGAAAAAGGCGTTCATTCTTTAAAAGTTTGCAAACATCAGAATTTTAATTTTTTTCCTTTCATTGTTCGATTGTTTGCTAGCCTCATCAAAATTCACTACGTGTTCTGGGAAGCTTACAAAAGTTAGTGAGTGAATAAAATGTTTAACATAAAGTTCTGCTAGCAGTATCACAGGTCGAGGGGGATTACATCATCACGTCGAAATTTAAACAATTGTGCACCGTACCTTGTGGTTCCGGCAATTATTGCGGGGTCAAGTCTGGGAGAAATTTAACCAAATTGAAATTGTCACTTGACAAAATGCCATTTAGAGTCACGATCTTGAAAAATCGCGGCGATAAGATCAGTCTATCTTTCCCTGATTTGTGTCGCTCACGTTCATGGAATAGTTGAACATCTTCAAACATTAGAAAGCAAATAAAAAATTATCCCAATCGCACGCTATTTCAGTGACTGAGAATTCAAAGATTGTTCACGATTTTAGATCATGACGTCAACTGAGTATGATAATTGTTAAATAACTTTTCTGCTCGATGTATTTCAGTTGTACTTCTTATTAATTATGCAAGTTTCGATTTGAATAAACCAAATAGTTGCTAGTTGTGTTATTAACAGACACTTCACATGGGGTCGTGTAACTTCGTTGAGAGTACCGTCTCATTGCAACTTGAATTTCTCCTCATGGAACGCGAAAAACCGCGGTTTTAAAATATTTGCTTGTAATGGAGAGCCGCCTACGGTTTATCTAGATAATTAATTTTTCAACCGTGAAAAGTTTGGATATGGTTTCTCTGATGGACTATCACGCAAGTTACTAAATTAACGCCTTTGCCCCACCCACCCCTGTAAGAAAAACAGCAGAGCAAGTGACGATACATTCCGTTTATTTGTCGACCAATCAGAGACTAGAATTGATGATCGGTTATTATGCATTCTTGCCATCGTTGACGGTGGTTAGGATATTCGTCCGAGTGATGGAGTTCGTTTGAAGTCAAACAGTCTCGCTAGTGTGTAAATGCGTATTTGTTATTAGATCGAATTTAGCGGGTCGTGTAGTAGTAAAAGTTTGCTCCTATAATGTGATTGAACCTCGTAAATGCCAAGCAACATGGATGGAATTCGAACACGGCAAGAGGAACGCGCACATTTGCGAAAACTGATTGCCGAATGGAACGCATGCCGCTTAGACATCTTTGCAATCAGCGAACCCGATGAGGTAGGTTTCGATCCTTACAGCCAGGTTTTAACACTTAGATGCTGACCGTTCTTAACCAGATTTTGCTTCTTGAAACATACCTTGTTAGTGAACGCCGTTTGGGTTGACAATCTTTCGCCATATTCATTTCTCAGGAATTAGTGTACCGCGGAGTGATGCGGTTTTATTTTCAAGATGCAGGAGCAAAAATGTCCACGAAATGTGTCCGCGTTACCAGCACGGAAACAGCCGACGATGTTACGAGAACTCTAGTGGAAAAGTTTCGCCCGGATATGAAGATGCTTTCTAATCCAAATTACTCTCTCTTCGAGGTTCATCCAAGCGGAGGTAAGCCGAGAAACCTTTCAGGAAAATGAACTAACGAAGTTACTATCGCGTGTGACGGTTGTAAATTTCGCGTCCTCTCTCTTGTTTTCATGCGGCTTGGTCATAAATTATAATAAGACCCGATTTTTTTTAAATGAAAAATTCTTTTGATTCTTCAAGGATTTGTTTCTCTTTTTATCGGCCTGGGGATGCCGTTACGCTCACCCGAACTTGTCTCCAGCGTGTCCAACAGATCGCCAAGCACTGTCGAATGAAGTTGTACATTGTTTATCGTTCTAATCGTTCAGTTTAAAACGCAGCTTGACTGCAGTGAACAATAAAACTTTGAAAACGCCTAGTCTTACAACACGTTTCACTCGAAGACCGAAAGTGCGCATCATGCGCTATTTTCAAGATCTTTTAATGTTTTGGTACGTGTTCAAGGCTTCAAGTTCGGGCGTCCAAAGATATGTTTTGAGATGAAAAATTAATCAAAACCACTAGGATATTGATAAGAACACAACTTTGGATTCTCTTACAAGCTTTTGTAGCATCTCGCTGGTTTTGCTTGAAGGATAAGATTCTCTTTCCTTCAGTATGATTGACCTTTCGTCTTAATTCCTTTGGTATTTAATTCCTGTGTCATATTTCCTGACAGAGGATGTCTGGCATTCTTCATGTAAGCAACCGAACATTTCGAACCAAGCCAGGTTAATTGAGACAATTTTTTTGTCGCTCTTTGTTGATGAAAATGTGGTACTTTTGGTTCTGACCGTTTTGAAAGTTTGAAAGGAATATTTACTGCTCCATTTATTCGTACCAAGCAGTATTCTTAACGGTTGTAAATATCTCTGATATTCGCTCTGTGTGAAATAGATCCTGAAATACATCATATTTCAGTTTGGACTTCTCACAAGACCGATTTCTGTTCACCTTGGTTTTGTAACATTAGAATTTTTAGAGGTGTATTCTGGATAAAGATCTGTCTCGATCTGGGATAAATTAGATAGTTCGAGAATGAAAAAAGTGACTGTGTGGCTGTATGAATTGAAGGTTAAGAGCTAATATGCAGAAAGAAGTCAAGAGTAGACAATTTGTCTGGTAAAATTTTATTTGCTTGATGATACAATCAATGTTGTCTCATCAGAACGGCCATTAATTTGTTAGGATGTTTAATCTTTTCAGTCTTCACACAAGTTGATTGGGGAAGCTTTTTCAAGTTTTTTTTTTTTGCTTATCAGATCTAGGGAATAGTAATTTGTGGGTACTCCATGAGCTGATGAGAAATTCTAATATTCCATCTTCAAAGTTCTTTGTGTTGTTGCCTAACACATGCATAATGTTAATCATTTTGTTAACTTTGTGGTGCAAAACATGTGGAATACTGAAAAAAGAATTGAATGCAAGAAAGTAATAACTTGCTTCTCAACCCACTCCTTACATGAATGTGGGTTATGTTTTAAATGTTATTCCAGCACAGTGCTGTCAAAGGTATACATAACATTTTGTATACTAACTGGGGAAAAAAGCAGTCTATTTTAAGCCAAGAGTGATCATAATTAGTTGTGATTAAATATAAATCTGTCCTTTGTTTGTACATCTAGGGCCAGCATGAAATTCTTAGGGTATCTGAAAAATGCAATTTCACTTGACAACTTAGAAAAGCGAGGAGATTGCAATGTTTTATTTGCATATGGAAATAGGGGAAGTTTTGTTTGAAGTAGATTAATTAGTAGATGCCTCTCAAGATTTTTAAGTCTAAACCAGAGACAAATACGACAGTGGTTTACTAATATGTGATCTGCTATCTCCCGATGATCTCTCTGTCCAGAAACCTCTTTCTCTGAGCAACCACTTTTAAAATAATTGTTTTGTTCCTTATAAAATAGCTGTTTATAAAACTCTTTTAAGGGATCCTGCTTGTCAAATATTTGACAACTCTTGTGTTTTTTGCTTCCTTCAAGTGACCTTACCCAAGATTATATGAAATCCATGGATGTCATGGAATTTTTTTTTCATACAGAAACACTGATATGAAGTATTCTAATCTTATGAAAGTTAATTAAAAGTTTTTATGGAAACTGCTTTTATGTGAGTTAAACATAGAACACATTTCAAAGTGAAAAAATGCATGTAGCAAAAACCAAGAAATTACGATCAACAGTATAGCTGGTAGCTTGCTGTAATTTATTGTTTAATTTATAATTCATATCTCATGGCATTGTAAATTTACCTCGCTTGATCTATGAGTAGAGAAATAGTAATGAATATTGGATCCACTCAGCGTTTGGCTTTGTGCATTGACTTTCCCCTTTTAAGATCCTCTCTTCTTCAGCAAAGGTGAATTGCTTAAGGGTTAGTCAACAGTAGTTGGCAGTAAAATGATGAAGTCTCGACTCTTTAAAATAGATATGGCTGCAGTGGCTTTCTCAAGCCTTTCCATGATCACCATGTTAAGTAAATTTATGATTTTAATTGGTGGTAAACAGCTGTAAGAAAGGACTCCTTTAAAATCTCCCGCAAGTTTTTAAATCTCTGGTACTGAAAGATTTGTCTTGTGTATTTATTTTCAGAATCCAGGAAGCTTTTGAAAGAGGACAGGCCTTTGTTCGTGCAACTGTTATGGCTGCAAGGTGACAGGGAAGGGCGATTTCTACTGAAAAGTGATCAGGAAGCCTTAGTAACTACAAATGTTTTCTCTAGTGATGGTGACCTTGAAGCTGGTCAAAATTTCAAGAGGAAGTTGTCAAAAAGAGAGAAAAAGGAGCTCAAAGAGAAAAGGAAAGAGGAAGCAAAGAAAGCTAAAATCTTAGGTCAACCTTCATCTCCTACAAAAACTAATGATGATTCTGCTCTTGCACAAATTCTTTACGATGAGTTGCCTGAAACCAGTTTTACGCGGAGCATTTCAAATCCAGAAATAGTCATGAAAATGCGCCGTCAGCGAAAACTGGAGCGCAGACTTCAAGAATTTCAAAGTAATGACGGAGGGACAGACAGTGGAGGCACACTGAAAATCTTTGCAGAAACACTCAAGCCTCAGATTCCTTACAAGACTCTTCTTGTTTCAATGCGTGATCCTACAACGCATGTTGTCAAAGAAGCATTGGAAAAATATGGCATGGAAAAAGAAAATCCTGAAGAGTACTGCCTAGTTATGGTCAACATACCAGCTGGGGGTGTAACTGGAGGAGATACAATTGGAAAAGAAAGAGTTGTTCATGATGAAGATAACCCATTGGCCATTGCTGCAACTTGGCCTCAACAGCAAGGCCACGTTGTCTTCCATTTACGTCGCAGGGCAAACTTGCCTCAGTATAGAAAACAAAAGAGAAGGTCAAAGTCTCCTTCGAGGGTACCCATGGATAGCACATCAGATAAAGCAATAGGTGAAAGATTGGCAAATTCATTTCCAGAACATTTGTTGCCCTATCTTTGAGAGTTGTCATCTGATGGCCGAGAGCTTGATTACCAAGCAAACATTCACAGGTTACCCATGGAAATAACCGAAGTGGGTAGTGAAAAGTCCCTGTCATCTGCAGTTAGCTATCTGGAGTTGTTTGGATCTCACATCCTGCCTCGTCACTGTGTGATTACAAATATGGATGGGATTGTGTCAGTTGAGCGAACTAGCAGTGATGCTGAAATATATGTGGATGGAAGAAGAGTTTATGAGTCAACCAAGCTGAACCATGGTAGTATAATAAAGTTTGGCAGACTTCATACTTTCAAGTTCTGTGACCCAGCATTTGAAGAGAAAGCCAAGCAGAATTCACCAGTTCCTGACACTGGCGGTGTTAGTAGTGGGCACAGTGTGACTGATACAGATTCTCTGAAGCGGTCATCCGGATATAGGTAATAATCCTTGCAAGGGCTACATTTAAGTACGGGAGAGCTAGCTAGGAAATTTAACTCATTGGCAAGAGGATTTGTCTCCCATTGTGTGAGCATCCCAAGACCTAGTGTTACATAGGAGTTTAGTCTCTTGTCTTTATAAAATTATAGTGAGCGTAAGCCTCAGGAAAACAATATACATGCAAACAAACAAAAGTCCATATTCCAATTTGACACTGAAACAGTAGACCAAGAACCACTCCACAAATATGCCACTGCTGCATTTTCAATTTTTAGTGATATATATTTTTATTGCAGATTGTTTTAGGGTTACATGTCATGCAGTGATCCCATGTCATCTAATGTAATTTCATCCAATTCAGTACTTCTTACCCTGAGTTGGTCATGCTTTCTGACTCTGAATTTCTTACCCAGATTACATGTACATAGATTAGGACAAAATTTAATTTTGTGGAATGCATTTTATTATTAGCTAGCCCTTATCAACCTGGAGGAAAAAACAGAGAATATGAGCAGAACAATGTGGAAGCAACAAACAATCATGAATCTGGCTTGTTTGAGACAACCTTTGGCGTTGATGGTGAAGTTGAGACCTACACAAGTGAAAAACTTGTGAGTACAAACTTGATCCTAACAATGAATTTACTTTTTACTTTCTCACACTGTTATATTCCCACAAGCAATTAGGAGATGAGAATATTTAAAGTTTCTGCTCAAGATTGTTATCTTGTTATTACACCAAATTCTTGATCAATTTGCATGGATATGTAAAGCAGCAAGTAGGGAGGGTTACATATGGATCGTGGGAGTAATACAATCAAGACTGATCCAAAAGTGTTCTGTGTTAGGGTCATGGGCGTCAGGACCAGCCACCTGAGGGTCTGCATTCTTCAGCTGATGACATTTCAGATGATGGAATGGGTGACAGGCTTCCTGCAAGATTAGAGTTTAGAGAGTCGGGAGAAGATGCTTTCTTTGCAGCAGTAGTCAGTGAGGTGAATGGTGACAGAGTTCACTTCAAACTGGCACCAACCTACACTCTTTACATGTGCTGTCGTTATCGCATCTCCCCAGCATATCGAGAGGAGCTTTCAAAGCTTCAGCGTGGTGACAGGTTGAGTGTCACTGTTCAGAAAATTGCCAACATGGTGCGCTCAACAGTTGAGGTAAAGTTTGCTTGTGGCATTCTTGCATTATTTTTTCTTTTAGTTTCATCTTTCTACCCAAGGCTTCCTTTTTACCCTGATTGCCTCACATGACCTTTCTCCCACAGGTTGATGTTTATCATGGGAATCATTCAAGTTACTTTCACCAAAATTATCCATTTAATGTCCAGTAATGTCACCTTGCCTTCTGATGAAAGCATCAAAGCAAATAGTTTGGGCATACTTTTTGTTACTGCTGGTCTAAGTTGATGTGGAAGTAGTTTCTTTCTATAATATCAAAACATCATCAGCCAGAAGGGTGATGAGAATGAAAATAAGTATCATGTAGGGAAACTGGTTTGATTTTAGATCTTATTCTCATTGCTATTATCATATAAAATGTGTGACAGACAGTAAGGAGAATAAATATTCTCATCATGGAGGTGAAAGGGCTAGATCTGCTTGAAGTTTTTTAGAAGTCACCTGATGATTGAGTACCATGTCAATTTTTTACCCACAGGAAAATAGTCAGCTGCCAAGTAGCCTGGCGTTTTGGATGGCAAACTCATCTGAGCTCCTCCATTTTCTGAAGCAAGACATTGATGTATCACCCTACTTGAAAGACAGTTACCAAGTATTAGCACAGTCTGTTCAACTGGCATTCAGACACCTTGTGCAATGTGTAGAGCAGGAGTTGCGACAACTGATGTCAGCATTCCTTGATGTCACTGAGGACGCTGACATGGAAGATGGTGACGCAGATTCCATGATGGATATGAACTCCCCTGATGACATTATGGGTGAACGTAGTTTTCGATATGGTCCTTCTGGAAGACCCATGGGTGGGGACAGCTGGCTTGGTGAGTTGATCTCACGATTAACCTTTTTTTAGCATATGAGATGCAGAGGCCAATACCTCATTCATCCCAAAGCTTAAACATCTTTAAAGCTGTTTTAGAAGTCAAACCCAATAAAGTTGTTGAAATAAAAAAATAAATAAATGAATTGTTTTAGTCGTAAAAGCTGCTTGAACCGAATTTTTCAACTTCAAATTTAGCACCTTGAAAACACAAGTTAGTGACTACTTGAAACTTATGGAAGTTTCCCTTTTTCAGTTCTCTGTTTCTGAAAAAAATTGCACTCGACCACTGATCAATGCAATGAGCTGCCGCTTAATTGATAAGAACACTTTGAGGATGCTACATGTAGATTGACAATACTGAGAACAAACTACTTATCACTACTTTTTTACAAATCGTTGTTTAAAGGTGGCCGCAGACGCCATGGCAAGCCTACAGTGTCCGACATCTTGTATACGCTGACCTCGGCTATGTCATTGTTGCGACGCTGCAGAGTAAACGCTGCTCTCACCATTCAAGTGTTTGCACAGTTATTCCACTATATCAATATGTGGATATTCAATAAGATTGTACTTCAGCCTCAGTTGGGCCTTTGTACCAGAGAGTGGGGTTACAGACTAAGGAGAAGACTGGCAAGAGTGGAAACTTGGGCCCAGAAACAGGGTTTGGAAATGGCAGCAGAATGTCATTTATGCCGTGTAGCGCAGGTCAGTTAATATGTTGTGGTCTTACTGTGAAGTAGCCAATAATTTTTGGTTTGTATTCCTCGTTTTTGTAGGTTTGATTGACTAGCCGTATTATTACTTCTTTTGGATAGGATGCTAGGTCATTGCAACAGGATTTCATAGTACGGTTTTCCTGACAGTTTTTCCAGTACTCTTTGATACTTTTTGGTGGAGAGAAATACTTTGAGCGTTTAGTCTGGTGCCTAACAATACAAGACAATGTCACCCTCTGGGTTTGAAAACAAATAAACTGCTCACAGGGCAGGAAAACACGATTGGCCACGTTGCAATTGGTTTTAGTTTTGAATTTAATTGGTCGAGAAAAGTGATGCATTTTTCTGACCAATCGCGCAGCGATTCGGAGGTAAAGCGAAACCGAAGCGATCCTGGCTTACTGCTTCACGGGGAATTACGCGAATAGGTGGTTTGCACGTTACGTCATTGCCGCCATGTTTGTGGACGTAAACAACAGATATCTCATTAGCTTCTTTTGTTCGTCCACCAGCACTTGCTCCTTTCACCATTGTTACCTGTGTCTCTAGAGATTGGTTGCAAACCACCTATAGCTGGATTTTATTTGAGTGTGTGATATACATTTTACACATCAAAGCAGTAGACAAAGTCTAAACGGGCTCCCAAAAACGGCAGAATTTAATTTGTGTAGGAGGTCTAAATATAAGTTCCATCTGGCCAGCACGTTTTAGAGTGATAAGTTGGGCGAATTTCCGTCTGCTTTCTTAATAATCCAAAGCAGAAATTTACTGCCTGTGTTAATTTAACTTACATGTGATTTCATTTCCTACTTCAGTAACCAAAACCATTCGTTTCCGTTTTTTCGTGCTTTTAAACAAGCGCAAGTACATGTTACTCTCATTAAGATGACATAAACAACAGACTTTTTCCTTCTCTTTTATGCGTTGAAAAACAGATGTCACGAACGGGTTATAAATAAGAGCGTTGGAGTAGACAAGTGAATTATTAATGAGTGGACAGCGCTGAGGAAGTCCAAGACGTTGTGTGTTGGTTATTTTATCTCATTTGTTTTTGTTGTTGTTGTCGCTGCTTTTTAACTTCTTTTATCTCTTAACAGGCGGCTCATTTACTACAAGCTCCCAAAAACTCTCACGGTGACATCAACTCCTTATCGTCAGCATGTTATAAATTGAACTCAATACAACTACGTGCCTTGCTTGAAAATTACCGACCTGCTGCGGACGAACTTAATATCCCAAGGTGTGTAAAACGTTTTCAGTATGAATATTTAATACAACAGGTATCTGCTTTGTCGATATTTATTCGTTGTATAATTTGCTGACATTAAAGCTTTTAATAGTGTCGTGTGCTTTACAATCACAAAGTTTTTGAACGAGGAGCTTCTGTCTGTACTGGAGTTATTTCAGATTGCGAGTCTTGGCACAGGATGAGTTAAATGATAAGCGCTCAATACCACCCGTGGATTATTTAATCGGTAACGTTTTTACCACATCCTTACGATGCAAAGACGATGCCGGTTTTACTAGCAGTCGAAGTGATTGAATAAGATGTGCGTTTTCACCTTTCTAATATCCTGTTATTTGGATATAACTTTTCCAGGGATTTGATCGACAGCGTTGTGGCCGTTGCCGAGAACACGGCAGATGAGCTCATTCGTAACCAGGGCCAACCCGTGACGCTTGAAGAGGACCCTCAACTTCAGCTCCCTTTCTTGCTCCCTGAGGATAGGTACTCGTGCGAAGTGATCCGTGGTGTTCCCCCGGGTTTGAAGGAATTTTTGAGCCCTCTTGCAGAAATCGGTTAGTGTTTCTTCGAAATAATAAAATTCTGGTCACGCTTTGTGATCTAATCCAGCGCCATTAAAATGTAAGGTTGTATACTGATCCTGTTTGCTTCATATGGATAATACCTGGGCTCTTAGTTGTGGTCGGTCTGCTCCTCTTGAGGAGATATATGGTCATTCCAGGTCTTGTAATCTGGTGAGCCGGGAGTTTAAACCCTCTTCCCTGCCACTCGCCAGAATTTTTTTTCTTCGTTCCCGCGAGTTCAACTCCTCCGCTGCGCTTTATGTATAGCCAACTGATCTGTCTCCTGCCAGTTGGGATTTTTAAACAATATGTTTATGTACAATGTATGTTTCTAATTTGTTAGCAGTGGGCTTGAAAAGCCTCATTTGGGGAGTGTTCAATTATGTTCACACACTGTTCTCCGAAACAGTTTATGGTGAAATAAATAGAGGAAACGTTCTCCAAACAAGAAATTAATCTGAAGTAAATCCGCGCTCGCATTTTGTAACTCGTGTTAGAGTGACGGACGAAGTCTTTGAAATAATTAAGAAAATGGAAAGGCAAATTTCACTACATTTAACTTTGTTGCTTTGCAGGCTTATGTAGGTTGACTATACAGCCATCCTCTCCGGGCTTATGGACTGTTTATCAAGCCAAGCGCAAGGACTCTGGTGAGATAACTTACCCTCGCCAATTCAAATAGATTTGAGTTATTATTTTGGTCATACTATATTTGATAACCTCGCGTTTTGTTTTTCGTAGGTGGTGAAGTGTCGTCGAAAACTGCTCAGGTATGGAGTTCAATTATTGTTTATCTGGAATCTTTCAATATTAACCTCAGTATATATTTTTTAAGAAGTCTTCAATGAATTTCCCTCCGATTTCTACTTGATCTTCGTGAACAAACCTATGAATTTCTGTTTATTTATTTCAGTCCCAGACTCCTGAAATTATGGACGTCTCCTTCTATAAAGGACAGGGAGGCATGGGTCTTAGCATTGTGGCCGCTAAGGTAATTTATATTTTGATTATCTGTAGAGCGATTCTAAGGAGAAAATGAACTATAAATCACGTTTAGTCGTTGTACATTTTCCTCACGTTACTGCCTTTTTCTTCGTTTTAAGGGTGTTGGACAAGACAAACTTGGCATTTACATTAAACAAGTTGTGAAAGACGGTCCTGCTGCTAAGGTGAGTAACATGCGCGATGAGCATATAACCCCTCCCCCCTCGATTTCAATACATTAGGGACTTTAAGAAACCACCACGGCGACGCCAAGGATAACTTCGATTAAAAAATGAATTTCTACTCTTAGTTAGAATTTCAAAAATGGCTGCAGGGGCTTACTATCTCATACAGCGCCACAGCTCAACTTCAGCATGACGTATAAAGTAGCCGTTGAGTTCCAAATGGAAATTAAAATAATTTYCCGTCGCGGTTTCGGTTCGCAGACCACGCAAATTTTGGCGATTTCACGTTGTTGTTTTGCATAGGACGGCTAAGAAATGTACAAAGTTTCAAAACGCACGTGCTGAGCTATTGTTCTGCCAATTAGATCTCTTGTTTTTCCACGTCCTCGTTGTCGTCGCCGTCGTGGTTTCTTAAGGTCCCTAATATCTTGCAGAAAGATGGAGAGAAAAGACAAGCCTATCAAGTGAAGGGTTCTTTCTCGATGTGACACTTTTTTTCTCATTTACAAAGAAGTGTGTGACAGTCAGAAAGGATAAATTTTAATTAGATCTTAAGAGTTTATGGATGTTAAAAAAAATCCCGAAAGTATGGTGACGCTTTAATTTAAGTCGAATAGTAATTTTGAGTAGCTTAGCTGCGGCAATGTCAAGAATTAATGTATAGTAAAGGAATGAAAATTTTCCATTTTACTTTCCTGAGTTTCCACGCAGTGCTTAGATGTGACAGCTATAGCTTGACAGCCTCTTATCTTCTAAAGTTTGAAATTTCTTATTCCCATTTTTAGGATGGACGTCTAAGAGCAGGAGATCAGCTTCTAGCCGTGAATGGCGAAAGTCTGGTGGGCGTTCCACAGGAGAGGTAAAAATACAACCAATATTGCCAATTAGTCAATGGTTTTAACCATGTCCACCTTAACAATAACATTCATATTTTCCACGCTGTTCTCTTTTCATTTCCTACGGTTATGTCAAGGAAAATTTGTTTGACAATTGAGGGCTTCCTAAATTGGTTATCATTTCTTTCATTCTCATGACCTTTCCATTTGATTCAAGGGGGTAATTAGAATCCAGACTCCCTTAAGGGTTAATGGCCGAGCGATTTCTATCTTTCCTTTTTTGGTTACTCTTTTACATTGCGGTGAGAAGTTTTCATAACAATTTCTTCTATTGTTGGGAATTGCGTCCAAGATCGAACTACCAACACGCTCACACGAAATCCCGATTTCTTCTCCTTTATTAATCACCAATAACCTACAGCAACCTCTTCTCGCTCTCTTCTTCCTGTTTTATTTTTGCCATTAAAGGGATCCAAAGTTCAAGACTCTCAGATTTCCACGCAGATTTCTGTTTCCACGCAGATTTCAGATTTCTGTTTCCCAGGGCCACCGAGCTAATGGTCAAATCTGGATCTGAAGTTACTTTGCGCATATCCAAAGTACTTTGCGCATATCCACTGATTACGATCAAACAAAGCCTAAATTACCCTAACTACAACAATGCGACAAATAATAACAACACACCGCACGATTTCCGACATCTATGTTCCATCATTTTGTGGAAACTCCTTCTAAAGAGAATCCCCGCACATATGCCGAAAGAAATTTAGGGAGACCAGATAGAGAATTTACACGTAGTCTAGCATCAATGGAGTAACGTTGCTGTCTCTGTTTCCCAGGGCCGCCGAGCTAATGGTCAAATCTGGATCTGAAGTTACTTTGCGCATATCCAAGCAGGGCGCCATTTATCACGGCCTTGCCACTTTATTGAGTCAGCCATCACCAATGGTTACCAAAGGTATGTTAAGATTCTTTTGGGTACAGTTCTACAAATTTAGCATATTATGGTCGTCGTCTACGCGCTAAACGTGAGATTGAGCAACGGGCTCCAGAATATTGATAATATATTGCATTAAGATTCTTTCACTTAAGATTAGCGCGGATCGAATCTTGGGCTTGTACTTGTATTTGACTACAACGAAACCTCTTCTGAATATTCCAGTGATGTTGGCCGTCGAGCAAAGATCTTATAAACCACACCATCTTCCTCACTAAGGAATTTTTGTTTTCAAGTTTTATTAACCCATTGAACCTTAAGAGTGACCAGCATCTAGTTTTCTCCTTATAGTAGCATTGCTGAATCATTTATTGATTGCGAGAATAGAGGAAATGATGACTAAGCCAAGAAGCTTTTCTAAAGATTTGTACATTGTACACGTGTAAGAACAATAGGACACGTAGTCCCCTACAAGGTTCATCCACCTAAACCCAACCCACCCATCCCACCCCGGGGATTTGTACATTGTACAGGTGGAAAAACAATAGGACACGTAGTCCCCTACTAGGTTCATCCACCTAAACCCAACCCACCCATCCCACCCCGGGGAAGGACATCCATCACACAGTAATCTCGTGCGTGGGAAATTAACGTCTCCTACCCCAACCCTGCAGGAGACGGGACCTCCATTTATTCGTCCCTATCCGAGAAGACTAGAATATTTAACCATTTCTTGATGTTATAGAAAGGTAGCATATTGTTAATTATGTTAAGACCCTGAGTGTTGGTCCGGCCGGGGCTCGAACCCTCGACCGCCCGCACAACAGCCCAGCGCTCTATCCATTGGGCTAACTGGGAGGCGGTTGATTGTTAAAGCAAATTTTCCTTGTCATTTCCAAAAGAAATTTTTAAAGGGAAGGGCATGGAGAAAATATGGATACTGATGTTAGAATGTGAAGGGTTAATATCATTATTTATCCGTTTATTTTTATCTAGAGCCACAGCAGAAGCTTGTAGCAGTAGACAACGAAGAAATGCTGAAAGCATCACCAACTGTACCTGAGCAAGAGATGCAGCGGTCTCCTGGGCGGTGGTTACAAAAAGACCGTAATCAGTCCTACAGACAGGGTGATGAGGATAGAGGCCGCCGGTATCAAGACCAGTGGCAAGTGGATGAAGACAGGAGAAGGAGGGATGGAGAGGACGGGCGACGGCGTTACTCTGAGGGTCAGCGGCGCATGGAGGAGGAGGAACGTATGCGAGCGGCGGAAAGGGAAAGGCGGTATAGAGAAGACGAAGAACGTCGACTGGAAGAGGAACGCATACAGGTTGAGGAGCAAAAACGACTTGAAGAAGAGAGGAGACTACAGGAGGAGAGGCGTCTTGAGGAACAACGAAGGCGCGCCGAAGAACAACGGAGATTAGAGGAGGAACGGAGACGCGCCGAAGAACAGCGGAGACTTGAAGAAGAACGGAGACGCGCCGAAGAACAACGAAGACTTGGAGAAGAACGGAGACGTGCCGAAGAACACAGGCTAGAAGAAGAGCGACGTCGCGAAGAGGAACGAAGACTTGAAGAACAACGTTTGTATGCAGAGGAACAAAAGAGAATCGAAGAGGCACGGTTACGAGAGGAAAGGCGAATAGCCGAGGAGCAACGAAGATTGGACGAGGAGCGCCGACGAGAGGAAGAACGAAGAATAGAGGAACAACGGCGTTTTGGCGAAGAAAGGCGTCGGCAAGATGTGGAAAGGAAACGAGCAGAAGACGCTCTGAAAATGATCGGCGAACATCAGCGTCGGCAAAAAAGGCCAACGGATGGATCACGCGCGTCGCCTCAAACTGTTCAAGTTGAACCCGTCCGATCTCCTTACAGGGTCCGCTTTGAATCTGAAGATGTTGAGAGAGAAAGACAGCGGTCGCCACTCACTGTGACAGTAGAAGAACCCGAGATAACGGCCCGCGAGAACAGAAATCGCATTTATAGTTCACCCACATCCCCTGGAGCAACATCACCTGGAAGGGGGTCCCCTAGGGAGGTTTGTGAAAGAAGATTGGAATGCTCAGATAAAAATTAAAAAGAAAAAATGATCGAATGACATGTTTTCAATTGGAGAAGGACAAACTAACTGAGCTCAGTCACAACTAAGATGTATACTTGTCATTTCAGTACATTATCTTTGTGGTTTATTTCATTTTCAACAAAAGATTCTCACATTTATTCTGAATATTTCGGTAATTGTACCATTTAAGGGGCGATTCCAACATGTAGTCGTTGCTCCTCACACAAATACATACAATCACAGTATAACAATCTTTCCTAGATGTTAGACAGCTGTTCACCTAAAAGATACGCAAGTGGTAAGAGGCGAGCTCTTTTTCCGTTCAACTTCAATGTCCCCTGTTGAAGTTTCCTCAATGCATTGTCTTATTGTCTTGTAGGAAAAATCTCCGGATGAACCTCCGTCAAGTCCAATCCGAATCGACAGCCGCAATTCACGGTACGGTCGGTACATCATGATCAAACAGGGAGCACAAGGTGCAACTGAGCAAGCAGACAGAAGTAACTTGAAGCCGAACGAGAGAGACGAGTTAAATCGTTGGCAACGGGAGGACTCAAGAGCTACTGAAGAAAGGGAAGGCACGTTGGAGCGCCGCGAGCGGGAAGAGCGAGCTTGGAGACATCATTTGGAAAGACAGAGGAAAGAGAAAGAAGAAAAAGAGCGTTTAGAACGCGAACGACAAGAAAGAGAGCAGCAAGAACGAGAGCGTCGTGAAAGAGACAGGGAAGCTCTTGAGAGTATCGAACGTGCGCGTGCGGAACGTGAACGACAACAAAAATACGATCGTGAACGAGAGGAACGTCAGCGCGTTGAAGAAGAGCGTATTATGAACCAAATGCAAAGAGAAGAATTGAACGAGCAGCGTGAAAGAGAGAACCACTTGAAAAAACTTGAAGAGGAACAGAAACAGCTAAGAGAAATGGAGCAGTCCAGGCTTTCGAAGCTCTCGAGAGATAAGGGCAGTAAAGAGTTTCTGGACACCATCGAGGGACTATCGGCAGACGAGGTCGAACGAGAATTTCAAAAACGTCTTGAAGCGATGAGGAATCGTCGGGAATCTGGCGAAGATGAAGAGGTAATTACATCGCTCTCTGTTATTCTAACATTTGAAGAATTTTTCTGTTAGCGCGGAGATAACACGCAAGTTACCATTATATTGTCTGGATTCAGATCTCGGGAGTTAGATGATAATGAAGTGAGATGCGGTAGAGGTGCGCACACGAGGGAAGAAAGTATGTCTTTGTTCAGTTTTCGATAATGTTTGTTCACGGCAGGTATAATTGTGGCTCTCGATGTTAGCGCCAATTTTATGACCAACCCTACATTGCCACAAAGTCTTTGGCGTAATCGAGTGGACGAACGAATAACTACACCTTTCAAAATCGTGTTTGTCGTTTTCTCAAAAATTTCTTTCCGTCGAAAATAAAAACCGTTAAAGCCACCGACATGATTGTTCCGCGTTTTTACCCCAAGTGTTTACGTCAGTGCTTTCAATTTTTACTCACTCAATTTTTTTCGCTCTTTTTTACTGTCTTTTTTGTTGTCGTTGCTCGATATTTTCAAACTCAAGTGGTTTTAGTACAAACTATTAAAGCATTGATTTGTTACTAGGAATCGATATAGATTGCCTACTAGAACTGATCTTGTCAGGTAGGTTCATGTTTTCAACTCTGAAAGAAGTGTTTTTTTGTTATCAGCAATGCCAGATACCTCCTCATTTTTATTTTTTTCTGGTCTTTTGAATTTATAATTTGGTTGATTTCTTCATTCACTTCAACTGTTGGAAGATTTGCCGCTAACTGAAGTATTTTTCCTTGGAATAGCAGATTCGTAGAACGTGAAAGATTACCTAGAGATTTCCGTCTCAAAAAATAAGTTGACAGACCACTTTTTACAATATCCTTTACGAGATGTTCGTTTTTCTTTCACTCTGCACTAATTTCAATTTGCCCGATTTTATTTCAAAAGGTTAAACTAGTTGAAACTCATAGCTTGCACTTTCGAATCGATCTGAACTTTTATTTCCTTTTTGTGTCTTGTCTATATGCAACTTTGTGAGCTACAATAACTCAATACAGCTAAATTCTAATCGAAGAGGGCATCTGCGCTGTTGATGTCGAAACGAAAATCGAAACGAAAAGTAGTCCGACAGATGATCTCTGCTTAAAGATTTTTTAAGTTGCAAGTCGACGGATTTGGCTCTGAGTACTGTATCCGAGCTTTTATAGTTTTGCCCTTTTTTATTCCTTGTCTTTTCTATTCTTTTCTTTGTTTGAATTCCAATTTGGTGCATTTAGCCGCTTTACCAAACGTCTTGTGGATCTTCTGCATGTTATGTGATATACAAGATGATGAATGGTACAGAAGTAAAGAGAAGTAAAAGTAGAATCGCCTCGAATAGTACTTTTTAGTTAATTTTGTGGTAAATACTCTACGCCACTGAATTCAATCAGAGAAGTATTTTTGTAACCTTCCAAAAGATCCGGTGGCTAGCAACCCACTTTAGATTATGTTTTTGCGAGATTGTTTTGCTGGTTAGGTGTTTTGACGATTGTAAAATCGTTCTTTATCGATTGGGTAGTTCGAAGTAACGAAAAATGTTATTATTGAAATTATTGTTGTTTTAAAAAATATTTTACAATTGCTTTCGTCTTTTGATTATTTTTTGTTAACCTTGAGAATCTAATAACCTTAAGCTTTACAGTGCTCTTAATTGCCTTATGTTCGATACAGGTGGACATATTTAGAAATAGCACACGTGGTCATTGACTATTTCAGACAACTACCTCTTAACTCAAAGGTGCATTTGAATGAGAGATTAGCTCTCGCTCTCATACTAAGGATATTCAACCCAGTAACTTACTACAGTTCTTTTCTGTCCTGCATCTAGTTTAGAGGATAGGCTAAGGTAATAGCTTCAGTTGCATTTCGAAGAAACGACTAAGTCAGAAACTTGGAAGGGCAAGGAATTCTTTCCGTCGATGACAGCAGGGACCTTTTAAGATTGTCTTTGTCAACTGTGTATCATTACAGAAAGATAAACGAGTGTCAATGTATTTCATCAGAAAAACGAGTTTTTAACAGACTATGATGCTGTGGGAGGTTTATCAATGGAACATAAAATCACTCCGACAGAGATAGAATCAAAGCATGATGTACCCATGTTACATGTATATTTCAAAAAATTATTCTCAGCATTTAAAATGTTTCTCAAATAGCCACGTGTAAGGTTATTTCAAGTTAAACTCTGTCAGTCTCCTTAAAGAAGGGGATAAAACTTTATCAGATGGACAGCGCCATTCGATCTTGAGTTACGAGGACCAAGATTTCGCGTGACTTGACCTGAACTCTAAAGCAACAGTAAATGGATTCGAGAAAAAGCTCAACAGCTTTACATTTTGTTCTTTTCTTTCCCTCATCCAGGTGGTACAGGAGCGTGCTGCAGGCGGACTTGTTGCGGTAACACGTGTCAAATACCACGCACCGGACAAGGAGGAGAGAATGGAGCGAGGAAAAAAGATTGACTTGCTACTCCAAGAAAACATCCGGCGCGAAAAAGAAAAGAAAGAAGCTGAAAAGAGACGACAGCAAAAAGAGGAAGAAGAGGAGAAACTTCGAAGGTGATTGTTAAAGATATGGTTGAATTCTAGTCTTGAGAAAGCGATTATGATGAAGGTGTATAATTAGGCCGGCGGAGAAAAGACGATGCGGTTCTTTTGTGCAAAAGAACAATCGATAAGCGGTCGATGAATTATCACTCAACAGTTCAGAGTTCTTTGTGAACGCAGTCGTTTTTTGCGGGAATGGTTTGGGAGAAATGGAGAAGGGTCGCTAGGAAGAGGATCGTAGCGCTTGTGTTCGTCTTAACACGCGCCAGTACACACCACAGCTATCTGAGCTCCTGCTACAACGGGTAGAAGAAGCATTCGTTTAAGGTCAGAAATATTAACGTATCAATTTTGATACAGCGTCGCCCATTGAAGATGGATGTTAATGAACTGGATTTGCGACGGTTGAGGATAACGATAACCTGTTGTTTGTGTTTCTGTTTTCAGAGAACGACAGCAGCGCAGAGTTCAGCAGTTTGAATTAGATCGCGAACAGCAGAAGGAGGCCCAGCGGAAAATTCAAGAACACCGTGAACGAGAGCAAGAAGAATGGCTGAGACAGCAACGAGAAAAGAGAGAACAGCAGAGAATGGAACAGGAAAAGCAAAGGCTGGAGAAGAAGGGGCAGGAGGAAGAAGAACTGAATAGAAAGAAACTTGAAATACAGCAGCGACGTGATCAGGAGGAACGGCTGCGGTGGCAGCAGAGCCAGCAGTTAAAGGAGGAAGAGGATAGGCTGCGACAGGAGGAGGAGCGAGAGGCGGAGGCTAGGCGTGAGTTCGAACGCCAAAAGCAACAGGAGGAACAAAGGATCGTCAGAGAAAAGGAAGCACAATTACGAAAGCAGCAGCTTGAAGATCAGATGCTTCAGGAAGTAAAAGTGAGAAAGCCGTCCGTTGAGGAGCACGTCAATGAATTGAAGAATCGTGCAACAGCTGATTACGAAAGGAGGCGGAAGCTCATTGACGAAGAGATTAATCGACGGCGTTCTGAACCACCATCGGCACTTCGCAATGCGGGATCAAATCGCCCCAAGAAGCAGGTATCCTTTTCAAATGTAGCGACAGAGATTCGCGAACCCGCATCTCCAACTTATGTCGTTGGGTCAGCATCAGGTTACACAGCACGGGTTACTCCTGCCCCCAGTGTCCGGTACGTGAACACTCGTGCCCCAAGTGACTCTGAACCAGATTCTGCCAGGCCACCTCTCCCTGATGATGACGATGACCTACCGCCTCCTCCGCCACCGCCTCCTCCCCCTGACGAGATGCTAGAAGACGACAATTTCCCACCACCACCTCCACCAAAATCGCCTCACAGCTCTGAACGATTTGCTGCTCTCAGTGGTGATCGACCGTCGCGAAATGGTGGATTCACGTCCAGGGTGACAGTCTCTGCCCCCGGGACCCGGGATCAAGCTATGTATCCCCAACCTTACTCCAACACGGGAGTACCTCTCCGTCAGCCCCCAGTTACCTCATCTTCCCCATACCCAAGTTATGCCACATATCCTAGGCGACCTCGACCTGTGTCCTATCCAGCCGCCTTTGAGATGAATCAACCAGGTCCTCCTCCGGCCCCTACCAGGTATGGTTCGCAGGACAATGTCTTAGACGGACCTCCCTCTCGATCCCAGTCTCAGTACGCGCCAAAGCCCGCCCGGTTGGATAGCGATGAGTTGAATGGGATGGAGATGACCCGCGGTCGCCTGGGTCGGATGTCCTTAACAGACGAAGAGAAATCCGAGGGCCAGTTTGTTTCCAAGAAACCAGAAAGGCTGGACTTCAAGGACAAGCTTAAAATGTTCAATAAAGACACACCAGAAGAAAAAATCAGGACATCGAGATGGGAGCAGGGACAACTAGCGCAAATGAATGGGGATTTAACATCCCCTTGACAGAATTGTATCCAACCACGAGTTTCAAAGTAAGCAATGATCGCACTGTGATCTCTCTCTCTCTGAAAAGTTTTAAACAAAATATTCGCGATAGGGTAACTGGCAGAATTTCCGTATTATTATTTTACCAATCTCTGAAAGAAACATTAACAGTCCCAAAGTAAATGGCCCATGCAGTGTGTCGCAAGAGGCGTGTACTTCTTGGTGTCTAGATAGGAGAAAAATTTTGCAGTCTCGGTCTGTGAGGTTCTCGATTTGTTTTTTTCCATCATCATCATCACTGACTTATCTAGGGCAGAATATATTAAAGTCTTGGGAGAACAGTTGAAAACATTTGGTGGCAAGTTTGACGCAGTTGATAGAACTATCACATTTGATTTTTTTTTAGACTACTTATACGTGAGAAGAAATGTTAATGTTTTCTTATTTTTCGTTACCTATTTTAAGTTATGAATACACACAGATATAACTATCTAATTATTGTTTGTTCGAAAGTTCCTAAATGAGGTGTCATTTTCTTAATAATACTGTCATATCAAAAGCGAAATCTTTAGGGGCTTGAACAATCTTAAAGAAGCTATTTGGTTTTACTTTTCTGCAAGTTCTAACGGAATTTACTATGAACTTTTAGATTCATTCGCATTGCTTTAGAGAAAAGCTCTTCCGTGATGGTTTAGGTAGAGTCGATGTGTTTCCGAAAGTATGCCTATCGATTACGATGGAACGATATGTTACCGAGTGGTTACGAAGATGGCACGTCGAAAGTTTTAGCATAGTTTTACTGTTCTAAGCAAATGAGAGCCAAATAGCATTTAATTTTTATTAAGTGTGTAAATAAATTCAAGCTCTGAGCATTAGTTAAATGACTGTATATAATATACGTTTTGAAAGGTATAGAATTTTCTCAAAGGATGGGAACTGAATATCATACACACTGTCATTAGTTTATAAGGAAAAGTTTTGCGATCTTTAATAAAAATAAATTTTAGACTGAGAATGAAATAAATCTGTGACTTGAATTGACTTGAGTTCTGCTGTTCGCATCGTGAAATTGTAAACCGAGCGATTCTGGTGACACCGAGGAAAGCCCCACTAATCTCCTTTGTTTACTCACCTCTAGAACGGCAATGGCGCAATTTTTTCACATTTCTTACAGAATCTTGGGCTCACTCAAAAGTCGCTGGTTTGAAAATGGACACACACCCAAACCGGGTCAGCGAAAACGGTGTAAACTGATCATAGGATACAGTCAAACATCACAACGGCTTTAAGCCTCAAAGGACTTGAACGAGATAAACAAACAAACAAAAATGCAAACGTGCACGGGTGGGCAAAGATAATAAGGACTAGCTTTGCAGGATCCTTTTTGCGTGGAACTGCCAGACCTACTTCTCGGAAAATCATTCCTTGTTAAATTTGCGTTTGAAATTTGCCTAGAAGAGACTTTTCCTCTCGAGGCTCGTCACCGAACAATTTGCTCAGAATATGTATTGGAACCCAACGCGTATGTTCTTATCATAAAACAGTTCTTTATTGTGAGTATCAATTTATACAGTGTCCATACGAGAAAAAAAATTCGAAACTAAAAAGTTGCTCTAACGCAATGAATCATTTTGGAAACGTCTCTGAAAGTTGGCCGAGTAAGGCTGAGAACAAGTGGTAAGGGCGTGTCCGGTGAGAACTGTAAATCCATCAAGCCCGAAGCGGAAGCAAGGTTCCGTTCAAACTGCTGCGTTCTCTGAAAAAAAAAAACAAAAACAAAAAAAAAACTGGTTAGGAAACATAAACATCAGAAGCTGGTGGTAAGACATCTGTTATACAAACTCTTATTCCGAGGAAACAGATCTTTTCCAACCAAGAATATCATTTTGAAACTCACAAATATTCGAGAGAGTTGACGTTATTGCTACAGGTTATTGTGATAAAAATTTACTGGCCCTTTCTTAAAAAGCAATAACAAATAAATGAGGAGCTTCTATCAAATAGACTAATTTAAAGAGAGAATGTCAATAGAGGTGTATGTACAAAGGAGACATGTGGTTAACCCCTTCCTGTTCTGTAAGTTTGACACAAAAACAAAACAAAGTTTTCATACCTTATGCAATCTCTGGCATAGAGCTGGGTTGCGGCTTTTCATGGCCTCTTGAATCTCAAGCTACAAATGTATCAAATGAAGAAAGTTAACTGCAGCACCAAAAACACTACAGCAAAGACTCCACCTATTTAAGTATATAAAAACCTGGAGATCCAGAAATGTATATCCTGCTTAAAAGGGGGCACATTAACCTGGAGACTGACTGAGGCATCAACCACCATCTGCTGGGGGTTGACGCCGCAGCCGATGAGAACTCAAGATTTGTCCCAAATCTTTCATCCATCCAACATGGTGACCAAATAATCATCACCCTGAATCTTCTGCTTGAAAACACAAACTACTGCCTGCAAGCAGGCTAAATAAAGAACAAATGAACTTCCAAAAGTGGGGGAAGAGCAGATGACCTTGTCACAGTTGGTTTTAGCTTGATGTAATTGCTAAGGAGAGTGGTAATAGCTTTTTAGACCAATCAGAGCATTGTAAAGCAAAACCAAAGCAATCATGGATTACTTTCGATGCCCAATTGAAAAGTGCTCTAACTCTAGCCTGAATTGTACTTACTCTGTATTCATCTATTGGACATTCCAATAGTTCTGTCAAAATCTGGGAATAAAAACAAAAAAAAAAGGATGAAATGCACACAGGTTGGGTTCCTGTAGCTTGGTACTCTTTTCAGTACTTTCTCAGTTTTCTATGACAGTTTCCATCCAGGCTTTTTTCAATAGTTATCAATGAAATAATTATGAAGTCAGAAAACTATCTAAACTAGAATGACTTGAAACAACAGTTTCCCCACCTTCTCACTCAGTAAGGCATCCACAGTAGCTGTTCCATCATTTAATTTTACAATAATATTCCACTGGGATGACGTGGGATCCGGAGGAGATAACAATGTTGCAATGTAAGCCTATGTTACAGGAAACAAAGGTAAAAGTTGACAAAAGTACATGCCAAGATCAGGACTTCAACAAGGAAATATTTACCTGAAAAACCATAAATGAAACCTTTTATCACCTTTGCTCAAAGCAAAGCAGCAAGTAAATTCTTGAACAAGAGTCATGTTCCACTTTGCTAAAGCTCACCCTGGTTTCTGTACCATGAAGAAACTAGGAGTAAATCTAGGTCCCCAGAATGGCAAGTGGGTATACCTACTCCCCTATCCTGCCAAAATTTTTAATTTCCCTGACAATCTGACAGAACCCACATATACTACCAACTGTAGGAAAGTGCTGCATCTTTCCCCAGAGGAAATGTGGTGGTCTAACAGTTAGCACACTGATCCTTGAATTGATGGACCTCGTTTCAAGAAATGGCAAGGTTATTGTGTTGTGTTCTTGGGAAGGCCCTTTACTCTGACCCTGCCTCTCTGCACCTATGACTATATGGGTACCTTTGAACTGTATGGGAAGCCTGTTGAATGCTGAGGGGAGGGGAGGGGAACCTGACATAGACTAACATCCCATCCATGGCAAAACTCCTGGTCACTTCATGCTTTGGAACTGAGACAAGCACCAGCTAGATGAGCTATTTCATTTAAGTACAGACTAAATTTTTTTGACAACACGATAACAGTGGTCCTGTGTCATAGTTGCACCTTTTAATCTGGAGTCCAACACCCAAAGAACAATTATCCCTTCTCATTTCTCCCACTGACAGACAGTTGCATTTATCTTAGTCTAAAGCATGCCAATAAGTAATACTTTTCAATACCAACCTTAATTCTGACAGTCTGTTCCCCACTGACAGGGGCATGCATCAACACATCTGACAGGTACTTAAATGGAGCGGGACTACCTTCTATAATTGTGTATAAATAAAATTTCATTAGTTTACAATTATAGCAAGTTACAATTCAATGTGTGGGAATTTGATTTCAAATCCTTGATAGCCTTGGATGTAGTAACTCTGCTCCCTAAAGATAAGTGCATCCACTATTACTGTACATCCTCATTGCTTCACCAAGCACATCCCATGCAACACATCAAGCAGGTGGGCTGAATAAGAATATCAACATTTAGTATAATTTCAGAGCTGAGCAAAGAGTTTCCAGCAATCTGATTGGTTGAGCGGTTCCTTATATGACTATATAAACCGCTCCGCACAGTTTATATAAAATATTAAAATAAAATGTTAATAAATGTTACTAAAATGTTATGATTTTAGAAATTTCTCTGTTGTTCAGCTCTGAAATTATACTAAAACAATTATTCGCCTCAGGTTCGGTGAATATTGTCGCATAATCCCCTCGACTTTGTCTCGGGGATTACTCAACGATATTCACCTCGCCTTCGGCGAATAATCGCTAAATATAACTGCTTTCTACAGAGTGACTTAGATTACTTTTGTTTAACAGAAACTTTTAGGGTTTTTATTGTTGATTTAAATACATTGTAGGAGTTAACCCTTAAGCACTTGAGAAAGATTGTCGTGGTACTTAAAGCAGTGCTGGATTACTTGCCACCCCAATTGAAATTGCTCTATGAAAGGAAATGTGGCAGCCCAAAGGAAACATTGCTACACAATGTTAGGAACACAAGGTTCTATGGGCTCTCATGGGAAAACTATAGGTATTTTGTGACTCATAAAACTCCAATACATCCTCTATGTGTTAACATGTACCTTGTGTAAACGCATCCAGGCATTGACTTCTGCCAAACTCAACAGCAGTGGCATTATTGTTGATGAACATAGATCCAAACTCATTGTCTGATTCTTTCTTGATTAAAATACTAGAAGACTTGGTAAATGCAAGTTTTTTTGTTCCAAAATGATCACTGTTAGTATTTGGAGGATTTCTCTTTGTCTCTGAATCTTTGGACTTATCGCCTGGCTCACATTTGACAAAAGTAACACATCCATGTGTTGGATTATTCATTTTGCACATGAATCCTCTTTTAATGTTGTCTGTGGAATTTGATTGTTCATTGCTTGGTCTCCATGAGCTGCCATCTAATTTTCTAGAAAAAGCACTAACACTGTTATAATTACTTGATTTCTTTACAGGATCACTAAATTTTGTCGATGGGCTGTTTGATGCTCTACTTGCTTGTTTTGCCACTTGCATATGTCTTATATTTTGTGCATTAGAAAACCTCCCATGAAGAGGTTTTATTTCCATGGAATCTGAATCGTTTGCCAGTATATCTTCATCAACAAAGTCATCATCAAAGATCTCATCATAACATGGAATTTCACTAGAGATCATGTTTGACTTTATTTGAACACTTGTATTAGCTTTTGTGCTTGCTGAGGTTTGCATGTCTTTTTCAAGCCTATCTATCTGTTCCATGTCAAAGTCTTCCTCTATCCCAAAGAAATCATCATCTGCAACAGCTGCTAATAAATCATTGTCATCATCAAAAAATTCTTCATCACAGACATTTTCCAGTTTGTTACTAGCACCAAACTCTGTAAGATCTCTCTTACAACCTTGAACTTCTTTAGGCTCGTTGGGAACCTGTGGTTTTGATTTCCCTTTGTATTTGTTTCGACCTCTTGTGTTGTTACTAGTAAGCCCTCCAGCACGAAAATTTTTTTGGTTTGTTTCTCTTTTCACCACAGTTCTTGAATCCCTTGGGGATGTAATATCAGCAGTTGAATTATCTTGGACTGTCATCTGATCAACACTGTGCATTTCAATGGAAATAGCTTCTGTTTTTGTGATATCTGGTTTTCTAGGTGGATCTTGCCCTCTGATAACAAAAAGTGAAAAATATATTTCTGCTGTCCGTCACATATTAGATGGGGAAGATAGCATCAGATTTTCTGACTTAGACCACCATTTGACCACTAAGAGCATTCATAGTTATTGGTACATTGACTAGGTTGGAGGATCACCAACCACAGGAAAAAGTGTATAGAAGCTAAGGCTATGAAATATTTTAAAGCATGTCACAGTCATAAAATTTAATGCATAAGAAATTAACAAATAGTAAAACAACAAAGATATCCTATGCAAAAGGATAGTTTAAGACTTACATGGCATGATGCAGCATGTTCCAGTAAGAGTTGTCTTCTATCAGATGCATGATACTTCCACCTAATACCTTGACATTGCTCGGTGTTAGTAGCAGGGCTCCAAGTCTACAAGTTACAGGACCGCTCACTTGTATCTTTTTAAGAGAGAATAACAACAGTCATGTTATTGAAAGATTTTTCATCAATGGTTTTGTCACAAACATGGGGGGAAAAGTGACGTGTTTTGGTCAAAATAGGGTCAAGATTAGCTGCTCCTGAGGTTAAGCCCAATAAACAAGGTAGCACAGGTTCTTAAATCAATAGACAAGTTTTTACCTTGGATCCAGGAGGTGTGTTAAATGTCAGGGATGGAATCTGTTGATACTCCATTCCAAACAGGTTCTGTGTTCCATCTGTCATTTCAAGCAGTAACATTCGACTGGGTTTTATCTTTGGTTCTGAGGGCTAAAAGAAAACAAATCAAGGTTATAACCATACAAAATTTCAAAAAGTACACTGTCAAGCTATAAGTAAAAGATTTTTTTTTTACATTTAAACATACTAACATTTGCTTTGAAGTTCAGCTCTTGTGGATCATCTTGACCTTTAAGCTTCTGAATTTGAGAGTATGCTGATTCTCCAACATTAAGGACAGTGTTGATCTGTAACACCCAGGACAAGGTAAAATCAATAGTACAATATAACTTTCCTTTGCAAAAATGGTTACTTCTCAACTAGTATGGTAATCAATCCTACCTGGGTTGTATATATTTTGTAATATAACACTGCAGAGCATGGACTACATGATTGTGTTGTGCTAATAATTTTTGACAAGGGAATTCTAGTAATGTCAGTTATATACACAAAACAGGGTCAAGAATAAAGGTCATTCCTATACATATTATTCTATTCGAGGGTGAGGGTTAAAAGTCTTTCGTGCCACAGCCCCCAACCAAACTTCTTATCTCTTCCAGTTTGTAAAATCTAACCCCTTCTAGCCACCTAAAGCTTGAAAACGGTTTATCCCTTTCATGGAAAACCTTATTCTTAATCTAGTTTCACAGCATCATAAGCATCATACTTGTTACTCAAAGTATTGATATAATTTTATTTAGTCATAATTCATGACAAAATTGTGATGAACCACATATTGAACAACTAAATAGGCCAGTTAATTGTAAATTGTACTTTTATATCTTCTTTGTCCTTTTATATTTATTATGTATATCTTTTCATTAGCTGGATGGTTTGTCTGAGCACGGGGTCTTTGACTCTTTACATTTACATTTACATGTTATTAGGTCGGTAAAATCATCAAGATATCACACCAACCGTAAAAATAAAGCAAATAAATAAAGAAAGAAAATAAGTAAATGAATAAAATACAATTATGTTGATGTTGAAAATAAAAATTAAATTACGAAAGTATCCCTATGGCATTTCTTTTTTCTTTCTTTTGTTTACTATGTTGCCATTAAATTGTTAAATAAATAAATATGTAACCTGAAGATTGAAAGTCCCCTCCAATTTAAAGATATCCCGGTTCTCAAGACCTTCTGGAAGACAAGGACGACTGGATTCCTGAATTTCAGCCATCAGCCACTGCTCATACACAAGTTCGTTCAGTTGATCAGGGGACAACGTTCCCTACAATGCAGCAAGTACTTAAAATTATGCACTATATATATGTTAGCTGCTACAATTCGATTGTTAAAATATCAATGTAGCCGGATATACTAGTCATCAAAAGTTCAAAACGGACCACCTGCAAAAAATTTTCACCCCCAGTTGTCATACCTCATTGTCTTCTTTCACAAAACTTATGCAAGCATCCAGCCAGTCATTTCGAAAATAAATATTTCGAGACTCCACCCATCGACGGACTACCGCCATTTTAAATCCAGCGCGCGGAAGACTAACGCACGCGCACTACGTTATCAATGACGCGAAGGTTGTCGGGGACGGCCATATATATTTGTTGATGGCAACTGCAAACATTCTACACACTTTGAAAGGAACATTTTTTCTAAACATTAACAGTTTTACAAAATGATGCAAGGAGTACATCTCGTTGGTGAGGATGAAGACGACGTCTATGGGGGTTTTAACGATTACAATCCAGCCTTTGATACAGAGGTTAGTGGAACTTCTTTTTCGTGTGAAGTTCTATTTACCGTAAGAGATTGATATTCAGTAATCTGTACTGAGAATACAGCAAATTTTACGCAAAAATTTGTAAATCCTGGCATTGAATTCTGATTATGATAACTTAACCGGTCAAATAGTTAGACGGGTTAAAAATCAGCCAACCTTTTTGTCTCCCTCTTGTCTAACATGGCTTCCAGTTAAACTGTCAGGCAAGATCATGTACAAAGAGGAATCTCTCACTGGTATGGCTAGATTCTGGCCCAAAATTTTTATCTACGGTCTAGTGCAAAGGTTTAAGCTTTGGAAATGTTGATACATTCCCTTCTCTCCCTCCCCTGTCAAAAAGCTTAGGCTGCACAATATATAGAGAAATTGTCATTGTTGCATTGAGTTTTGCAAGTAGTCTTATATTGTTCTGTTCAGGAAACTTATGCTGCCCTCTCAGGAAGTCAGTTTTAAAACTTTCTCATTATGATGCTGTTGAACTTAATCAGATTTAATTAAAATAAATACAAGTAATTGAAGCTTGTCTATTAAGAAGGACTTTCAACCGTAATTCCACTTGTTAGGAGATTTGACAATTGAATGGCAGGGTTTTTTTGGTTGAAAAAAAAACTGTTTGTGGCCGAACCAAGTGATCTTTCTTTGTTTTGGTCAAAAGTACATCCAGTATGCCTGAAATAAGGTTGCAAAGTTTTTAGGCAAAAGATTAATTCCAAAGTTAACATTTGTCTAATGATGTCTAAAGACCAACCTATAGAAATGAAGGATTTCCACTTAATGATGCTTTTGTTACATTGTTTCAGTAACAGTAAGTGGTTGTGTCGCGAGTCAGGGTCAGTCTGATTCAATAAGTAAAAACGGAAAAATTTAGATACTTAAATTGAAGAGTACCCTTTTGTAGTGATGTATACTAATCTGATGGTGAAAGTGACATTCCAACTTCATACTCCAAGTTCTCTTCATTGCCAGAAGAAGACAAGCAGTACATATGTGCAGTTACCTGTAAAAATGTGGTGGTCCATGTAGGAAGTGACTTAATTTTGATGGAAGTGATTTTACTTCATTATAAGAGTATTCACTTTGATGAAGGGCACAACATTAGTTTTCTAGATGTGCTCCTCTCCTCTTTGATTATTTGGAATTGAGACCTTACCTTTTTCCTATAGATAAATGACCATTTATATACTAATTATTTTACATATATATTATAATTACATACTGGAGTGGAAGAAAATAGAAATACAACAAAAAATACAAAATGAGTAACTGCAACCTTAATTACAATGTCATTTTGGATATAACTTGCAATCAGTACAAATGGATAAACCTTTTTCATAAGCAGTGCATTTTCATTCATCAACATCATCAGTAGTAATTAATTACTGCTATGTTTTTGTTGATGAATAAGAATCTGTTTGATATCCTGTTAAAAGACCCTTGAAATTAATTGTTCTATCACTGAGCACTATCCACATATCTAACAGCCAAAAGTGTGCTCTTAGAATTAAAAGACATTTTACCAAGTTCCTTAAGGCTCTGTTCTTATTAATCAAAGTGGATGCATATAAGCAAGGATAAGTCATCCAAAGACAAAATTAATTTTGCTTTGGCACCTGTGCTTTACTTGTAGAGCTGTAAGCTGCATTATGTGTAATGAGTTAACCTATTTCTGTTTTATTCCATTAAATTCTATCTGACATCTTCTTTTTAATTTTTAGAACCTTGAGGAAGATGAAGAATTTCAACAAGCTCTGAAAACAAGCCATGGTCAGAGACCTGGTTTGGTGAGTATTGTCGTGTTCCCCATGCCGCAGACATGTGCTGTTGTGCACTGGAGTTCACCAGTATAACCACAGTGTTGAACTTTAGACAAGTAGCAGCATCAAACTCGTTATTCACTTAAGCTGGCAGTCTTTGTACAGCACAGGTGGTAAAAACTATAGAACAGATACATGAAGGTTCAATATAAGGAAAACTGAAAGACTACGAAACTAGAAATGATAAAAAATGAGGAATATTACAAGCGTAAGTTACATTGGATCCGGGGTAGAGAACTCCTAAACTCTGTTTGGCTCCGAAATGGTTTCGCTACAATGACTCCTCGCAACTGAACTACTTGCTAATAGAAGGCGAATTTAGGTCTTACACTTTGACGTAGGGGAAATAGAAATGAACAATGCTTTGTGTAGCTAGCTTCCAGCAGATATTCACCAGTCACGGAATAGAAATCAAACAAAGCGCGCTAACAAATTTAATAGAAAGTCATTGAAAGTTTCTTAGTGTCTTTGTGCTAAAAATGGAAGAGTTACATAAGTAAAAAAGATTAGAGTTCGTATCTGTAAACATGACAAGTATCATATTTTGTTGTTGCCCCTTATTTCACGCTTTAAAGGAGTTTGGTGCTGAGTCAACCCCTATAATTTTAACTACTAGAAGTGGTACTTCCTTTTGAAACTTTGGATTGTTTAAAAGACTTAAACTGACCAATTAAGAAAAGAGTTGATGAGCTTTAATTATTTAGAAATGTGAGATGATTTCAAATTGTAAATTTAAGATATATTTCAAAATGTTTTATGCCACGTCTGGTAGTTAAAAATGATGTTAATCTGAAATTATTTCAGACTAGTGCAGTTTGTATTTTCCTTTGTTGAGGATTTTGACAATATCTCCAGAATGGAGAAAAAAACAAATCAAAATACTTTTTGCTTATTTCATTTTGACCCCAAATTTATTTTAAATTAAATGGCAACACATATGTTGTGATTCAAGATTTTACCTTATTTAATTAAGATTTATATTTTCTTTCTTGTACCACAGAAAACTGGCATGAAGATATCCACATCAGCTGGGGTATGATACAACTTACAATGCTATTTTAAAAAACCAGCCTGAAAGCCTTCATCAATCTCACATTGTGTTATCATTTCTCTTCAATGTACATTTAGCGGGGAAAAGTGCCAGGATCTTCCATGGGACGACCAACAACTGGAATTGCAGTGAGTTTATTGCCTTCTTTCATTATGTTTTCACTCGTTAAGATTAAGTATTGTAGCTGATGCTTGTCCCTGGTTTGTGCGGTACAGAGTGGCCAGGATTATGTTCACTCCTCCTAATGATATTATAGTCCATGACAGATCCCTCCCCCTTCCCCCTCCCCCCTCCCTTTGTTAGGTTTCCTCAACAGTTTGTTGGCAGGGCTTGAAATTAACGGTAACCCGTTAACCAATGGTTAGTAATTTTCAACGTTTGGTTACTAAAAATGTGTCCAACTAACCCTACATCATTAGTAAAATTTTTTATCATATTTAAACAATGGTAGACCTCAGGACAAGGAGCACATAAGACCTGACCCTCAGAAAAATACTTAGGATATTCAAGTTGTTTAATCAACTTAAACTCTTTTTAGAGAATGTGCTGTACCTGTACTGTTCTTGACTAATCATGGTAAACTAGAGGGAAATGAAATAGGTGCATAATTGTCAACCTTTTTTTAAGGTCACCATGCAATTTAAACCGCTCTTTCATTTGTCCTAGTTGTTATTATCAAAATGTTCAATATTTGAGATATTGTAGCTTGTGAGCTAGGACACCAAACTTTTTAATTTGGTTAGGAAAGAAGATTTCTACTAACCCAAAGGGTTAGTGCTCCAAAAATTAAATTCGAGCCCTGGTTGGTGCCCAGTTGTTCTCGTGGTTGAAGAGAGGCACTGTGAGAATAAAAGGACTTGACCATGAACACAACAAAAAGACCTTATAGTCAGAGCTCAGGCCCAAGCCTCTAGAACAACATAGCCCTGGGCACTAATAAAAGGCTATGTTGCATCTTGTTTGTATGTTTTACACTTGTCAAAGTCTGTGGTGAATTTTTAGTACCAGATCTCTGAAATGTTTCTTTGTTTTTGTACAATCAACGATGTGCATGGATTGGGAAAAGAGATTGATCTATTCGATATCTTTTTAAAGCATTTAGCTCTGAAATTCATGTTACACATTTAGCAAATATCCTAGAAAAAATAATTTTACAATTAATATAAATTAATTAATTAATTTCATCAGTCAACAGTAACAAGGAAAATGATCTGATAGCTAAAATGCTTTCTATCTAGGATACAGGAATGGCTCGTCCTATGACTGCAGTGCGTGCAGTGGGTTACACATCATCAGAAAGTAAGAAGGGCTACAAGGTCATATGGCAGAGTGCACCCTTTGCAGTGAACACTACAACATTTAATACCATCAATAGTGCTGAAAAACAGTTTGAATCTTTTGTTTACATGCTTAAAATCTTACTTTGAATATTTAGTTGTTGAGAGTAGTCATAGGAAAAATTCAAGAGTAATTTGTGAATATTTTGATGCTCTTCTTGGAATACGAGTAATTGTTCATTTATTGTGCTACTGTTTGTTAAGGACTTAAATTTATTTTATTTTTATTGATTAAATGATAGGATATGTTTATTTAATGCCTTGCTGCCAATTTGGAGTTGTAATGGTAAATCCTGTAACTCCCTTAGCACATTATTGATGTTTAAGGTGTAATAAGTTCAAGGTTTTAGGGTGAGATATGTGGCTGTCTGAGGTAATGCATTAGTAGTTGTAGCACTGAATCTACTTCTTTGCACAAGATTAAGTTTGTATCGAATGCCTGAGTAAAATATGGCTTATACGTAGCAAAATATGCTTCCAAATGAAAGATGGTAAGTAGCCTTTGCTTAACCCTTA